TGATAAACCTGTAGTACTGAATAACATGTTACTGGCGTGATACACCTGTAGTACTGAATAACATGTTACTACTGTGATAAACCTGTTGTACTGAATAACATGTTACTACCGTGATAAACCTGTTGTACTGAATAACATGTTACTGATGTGATACACCTGTAGTACTGAATAACATGTTACTTCCGTGATAAGCCTGTAGTACTGATTAACATGTTACTACCGTGATGAACCTGTAGTACTGAATAACATGTTACTACCGTGATACACCTGTAGTACTGAATAACATGTTACTACCGTGATAAACCTGTAGTACTGATTAACATGTTACTACCGTGATGAACCTGTAGTACTGATTAACATGTTACTACCGTGATGAACCTGTAGTACTGATTAACATGTTACTACCGTGATAAACCTGTAGTACTGAATAACATGTTGCTGGCGTGATAAACCTGTAGTACTGAATAACATGTTACTGGCGTGATAAACCTGTAGTACTGAATAACATGTTACTGGCGTGATAAACCTGTAGTACTGAATAACATGTTACTACCGTGATAAACCTGTAGTACTGAATAACATGTTACTGGCGTGATAAACCTGTAGTACTGAATAACATGTTACTGGCGTGATACACCTGTAGTACTGAATAACATGTTACTACTGTGATAAACCTGTTGTACTGAATAACATGTTACTACCGTGATAAACCTGTTGTACTGAATAACATGTTACTGACGTGATAAACCTGTAGTACTGAATAACATGTTACTACCGTGATAAACCTGTAGTACTGAATAACATGTTACTGGCGTGATAAACCTGTAGTACTGAATAACATGTTACTGGCGTGATACACCTGTAGTACTGAATAACATGTTACTACCGTGATAAACCTGTTGTACTGAATAACATGTTACTGACGTGATGAACCAGTAGTACTGAATAACATGTTACTACCGTGATAAACCTGTAGTACTGAATAACATGTTACTGGCGTGATAAACCTGTAGTACTGAATAACATGTTACTGGCGTGATAAACCTGTAGTACTGAATAACATGTTACTGGCCTGATAAACCTGTAGTACTGAATAACATGTTACTACCGTGATAAACCTGTAGTACTGAATAACATGTTACTGGCGTGATAAACCTGTAGTACTGAATAACATGTTACTGGCGTGATAAACCTGTAGTACTGAATAACATGTTACTGACGTGATACACCTGTAGTACTGAATAACATGTTACTACCGTGATAAACCTGTAGTACTGAATAACATGTTACTGGCGTGATAAACCTGTAGTACTGAATAACATGTTACTGGCGTGATACACCTGTAGTACTGAATAACATGTTACTGGCGTGATACACCTGTAGTACTGAATAACATGTTACTACCGTGATAAACCTGTTGTACTGAATAACATGTTACTGACGTGATAAACCTGTAGTACTGAATAACATGTTACTACCGTGATAAACCTGTAGTACTGAATAACATGTTACTGGCGTGATAAACCTGTAGTACTGAATAACATGTTACTGGCGTGATAAACCTGTAGTACTGAATAACATGTTACTGGCGTGATAAACCTGTAGTACTGAATAACATGTTACTACCGTGATAAACCTGTAGTACTGAATAACATGTTACTGGCGTGATAAACCTGTAGTACTGAATAACATGCTACTACAGTGATAAACCTGTAGTACTGAATAACATGTTACTGGCGTGATAAACCTGTAGTACTGAATAACATGTTACTACCGTGATAAACCTGTTGTACTGAATAACATGTTACTACCGTGATAAACCTGTTGTACTGAATAACATGTTACTGACGTGATACACCTGTAGTACTGATTAACATGTTACTACCGTGATAAACCTGTTGTACTGAATAACGTTACTACCGTGATAAACCTGTTGTACTGAATAACATGTTACTGACGTGATACACCTGTAGTACTGAATAACATGTTACTACCGTGATAAACCTGTAGTACTGAATAACATGTTACTGACGTGATGAACCTATAGTACTGAATAACATGTTACTACCGTGATAAACCTGTAGTACTGAATAACATGCTACTACAGAGATACACCTGTAGTACTGAATAACATGTTACTACCGTGATAAACCTGTAGTACTGAATAACATGCTACTACAGTGATAAACCTGTAGTACTGAATAACATGCTACTACAGTGATAAACCTGTAGTACTGAATAACATGCTACTACAGTGATACACCTGTAGTACTGAATAACATGTTACTACCGTGATAAACCTGTAGTACTGAATAACATGTTACTGACGTGATGAACCTGTAGTACTGAATAACATGTTACTACCGTGATAAACCTGTAGTACTGAATAACATGCTACTACAGTGATAAACCTGTAGTACTGAATAACATGTTACTGACGTGATAAACCTGTAGTACTGAATAACATGCTACTACAGTGATAAACCTGTAGTACTGAATAACATGCTACTACAGTGATAAACCTGTAGTACTGAATAACATGCTACTACAGTGATAAACCTGTAGTACTGAATAACATGCTACTACAGTGATAAACCTGTAGTACTGAATAACATGCTACTACAGTGATAAACCTGTAGTACTGAATAACATGCTACTACAGTGATACACCTGTAGTACTGAATAACATGTTACTACCGTGATAAACCTGTAGTACTGAATAACATGTTACTGACGTGATGAACCTGTAGTACTGAATAACATGTTACTACCGTGATAAACCTGTAGTACTGAATAACATGCTACTACAGTGATACACCTGTAGTACTGAATAACATGTTACTACCGTGATAAACCTGTAGTACTGAATAACATGCTACTACAGTGATAAACCTGTAGTACTGAATAACATGCTACTACAGTGATAAACCTGTAGTACTGAATAACATGTTACTATCGTGATGAACCTGTAGTACTGAATAACATGTTACTACAGTGATAAACCTGTAGTACTGAATAACATGTTACTGACGTGATGAACCTGTAGTACTGAATAACATGTTACTACCGTGATAAACCTGTAGTACTGAATAACATGCTACTACAGTGATGAACCTGTAGTACTGAATAACATGCTACTACAGTGATAAACCTGTAGTACTGAATAACATGCTACTACAGTGATAAACCTGTAGTACTGAATAACATGCTACTACAGTGATAAACCTGTAGTACTGAATAACATGCTACTACAGTGATAAACCTGTAGTACTGAATAACATGCTACTACAGTGATACACCTGTAGTACTGAATAACATGTTACTACCGTGATAAACCTGTAGTACTGAATAACATGTTACTGACGTGATGAACCTGTAGTACTGATTAACATGTTACTGACGTGATAAACCTGTAGTACTGAATAACATGCTACTACAGTGATACACCTGTAGTACTGAATAACATGCTACTACAGTGATACACCTGTAGTACTGAATAACATGCTACTACAGTGATACACCTGTAGTACTGAATAACATGTTACTACCGTGATAAACCTGTAGTACTGAATAACATGCTACTACAGTGATAAACCTGTAGTACTGAATAACATGTTACTACAGTGATAAACCTGTAGTACTGAATAACATGCTACTACAGTGATAAACCTGTAGTACTGAATAACATGTTACTACCGTGATAAACCTGTAGTACTGAATAACATGCTACTACAGTGATACACCTGTAGTACTGAATAACATGCTACTACAGTGATACACCTGTAGTACTGAATAACATGTTACTACCGTGATAAACCTGTAGTACTGAATAACATGCTACTACAGTGATAAACCTGTAGTACTGAATAACATGTTACTGACGTGATGAACCTGTAGTACTGAATAACATGCTACTACAGTGATAAACCTGTAGTACTGCATAACATGCTACTACAGTGATAAACCTGTAGTACTGAATAACATGCTACTACAGTGATAAACCTGTAGTACTGAATAACATGCTACTACAGTGATAAACCTGTAGTACTGAATAACATGCTACTACAGTGATACACCTGTAGTACTGAATAACATGTTACTACCGTGATAAACCTGTAGTACTGAATAACATGTTACTGACGTGATGAACCTGTAGTACTGAATAACATGTTACTACCGTGATAAACCTGTAGTACTGAATAACATGCTACTACAGTGATACACCTGTAGTACTGAATAACATGTTACTACCGTGATAAACCTGTAGTACTGAATAACATGCTACTACAGTGATAAACCTGTAGTACTGAATAACATGCTACTACAGTGATAAACCTGTAGTACTGAATAACATGTTACTGACGTGATGAACCTGTAGTACTGAATAACATGTTACTACCGTGATAAACCTGTAGTACTGAATAACATGCTACTACAGTGATAAACCTGTAGTACTGAATAACATGCTACTACAGTGATAAACCTGTAGTACTGAATAACATGCTACTACAGTGATAAACCTGTAGTACTGAATAACATGTTACTGACGAGATAAACCTGTAGTACTGAATAACATGCTACTACAGTGATAAACCTGTAGTACTGAATAACATGCTACTACAGTGATAAACCTGTAGTACTGAATAACATGCTACTACAGTGATAAACCTGTAGTACTGAATAACATGCTACTACAGTGATAAACCTGTAGTACTGAATAACATGTTACTGACGTGATAAACCTGTAGTACTGAATAACATGCTACTACAGTGATAAACCTGTAGTACTGAATAACATGTTACTGACGTGATGAACCTGTAGTACTGAATAACATGCTACTACAGTGATAAACCTGTAGTACTGAATAACATGCTACTACAGTGATAAACCTGTAGTACTGAATAACATGCTACTACAGTGATGAACCTGTAGTACTGAATAACATGCTACTACAGTGATAAACCTGTAGTACTGAATAACATGCTACTACAGTGATGAACCTGTAGTACTGAATAACATGCTACTACAGTGATAAACCTGTAGTACTGAATAACATGCTACTACAGTGATACACCTGCAGGGTTTCCCCAGCGCTTTATAAGCCTGGCGGCCGCCACTCTTTGCTTGGCCACCCATTTGAAGACAAACACAGCAAGAACGTAGAAAAGAGGACTAAAGTGTTGCGTTTATATTTTTGTGCAGTGTACACCTGTGGTGGCTGGCACTGGAAATCTTGTTGCCGGAAAACCCGTGGCTGCCTGCCATCGCCACAATTTGAGCTTGAACCTGCTGCCATTTTCTGCGTAAGCAGCTTTATGAACGTTTGACTACAGACTGAAGTTGGTCCGGACCCTCTGCTGAGTCAGGCAGGCCCTCTGATGCCATGGCTCACTGAACAGAACCAACACTTACCAGTGTACTCCACCTCCACGTCAGCGAGCGCTTTCAGCGTATTCTCAAAGCTGACCCCATCCAGGTCCAAAGCTCCCACATGGTCATACACCTTCTTGGTGCTGCTGATGAGCTCGTCTGACAGCTGCTGGATCCGCTCTGGGGTCAGGTCCCAATGCAGCCGGTTCTCAGGACAGACCGGTACCAGAGTGCCAAACAACACCTCACCTGAGTGACGGGATGAAGACAGGTGGGGGTGTAACATTGCAACAGCTGAATCAGAACAAAATAATCGTACGATCATCATCGTTTATCATGAAATGGGGGCTTTGTGCTGTTCCTCTGACTCTCGGCCACATCAGATATGAACAAAGCACGTTACTAATGAGAGGATTACTGATAAATAAAAGTTTCTGATATTTGTGTGAAAAAATGAGCGAAAGGATCGTTTAACACTGCGAGTCTAATGTTATGGCTCCGATAATTGAACATTAGCTGCACCAGTTAGCATCGTGCTACAAACACCGGAGGGTTAGATAACTCCCGATAGGAACATGTGTTCGGTCTAACACACCGGCTAGCTTCCGTTTTTCCACTCGAAACCACCTGCCTCGCTCTGGCCCAGGTGGCGTTCTGAACCGGCTCAGGTGGTAGCATGCTAGTTCCGGTTAGCTACGGTACACCGCCTCGGTGGCGGTGCAAACGAGCCGTTAAAACTCACCTGACGGTCCCATGGTTCACAGTCAGGATGGAGTTCGGTTCCGTTCGGTTCTTTTAGGGTGATTTACTGACAGGAAGCACCCCGGATCGGGATTAGAGATTACTGCGTCATTTCCGCTCAGGGATTTCAACTTAAAAGCCGGACCATGTTTTTATCACCTTTGAAGACTTTTAATTATAACGTTGCTGTTGTTTTTTTTTTTTTTTTGTTTTGTTTGTTTTTTTTGACACAAACATTTCAAAAGAACTTACTTTTTTTTCTTATTTCACAAATAAACTCATTTGAGGAATAAAATTTTTGTTTACATTTTGAACTCGCATCAGTTACAGCATCACAATAATACAAATTAAGTAAACTGGTGACGTTGTGGCCCTGGAGGATGAGCCTGAGGAAGATGCTGCAGACAATGAGAGGCTGGTATGGAGGCGGTCAGTGGTGCTCTGTCCTGCAGGAGGTACCAGGAACCTCTATTAAAAACAACACTGTGGTTTTATTTGCTGAAGAGTCACAACTGTTATACCAGTAGATCCATAAACCATCTCCTCATTTCATATTTCTGAATACATCTTAGAGATGTAACAGTCGTCGTCTGGGCCAGCCCAGCGGTTCCTGTAGATGGACGATGGAGTGGACAGTGAGAGGAAGCGTCCCAAAGCTCTCTCTGCAGACCGTCCTGTATGATGTTCCTCTGGCCAGAAACGTCCAGCCACGGGTCTGCTCCAGCCCTCCATCCACGTCTGGATCCTCCTGCAGCAGATCCAGCTGCACTGTTAAAGACTTCTTGCTCACTCAGTTTAAATAAAGGATCCAGGAAGAGTCACTCAGGTTAATCCTGCTTTAACCGTACATAACTGGTCCATACTGGTTCTGATCTGTAAATAAGTGTAACCTATTATAAATAATCTTGTCTCCTTACCATCTTTTCATTTTCTGTTCATGTAACATGTTCAAAAACATCTGTAATAATAAAACTGGTGATAAAATCAATCACCAGAAAGAGTTATCAGTTAGTATTTGTTTTAATAAATGTGTTCAAATATCAAACAGCTAAATAACAATAACATGATGACAGTATAAAAGGCCTTTCTTCTGGTGCACAAAGCATGCTGGGATAGCCTTGCTCTGGGAGGATACACCAGACCCATCCTGCGGGTGGAGCGAGGACGTGAGAATCAGGACTCCTGGAATTAGGACATTACTTGTTGCTGCGCTGTGATGTCATCGACCTCAAAATGCATCCTCACAAGCATCCTGCCTCTGGATTCGGACACACCCATTGATAGGAGCAAAGTGGTCAGTGGGACAAGGTGCAGCCTGATTTTCACCTCTAGAATCAATGAGGTGGTGCTGGGGTGACGTCCCCAGAGATCTTTCTCCAAAGAAATTCCATCAGTGTGGAAGTCAGCACATGTTTTACTACTTTATTACTTACTTTACTTTACTTACTTTATTAAAAGGAGGGGATCCAGCAGTTTTTACAAATTATAGGCCAATATCAAATTTATGCGTGCTTTCCAAGATAATGGAGTCACTTGTCAGTGTTCAGCTAAAAGAGTTTTTGTCTATTAATGACATCCTCTTGAAATGTCAATAAGGGCTGTCACGGTAACCGCAAAAATGAAATATCGCAATATGAAGAAGCCCACCGCGCTGCATCATGCGCCACCGCGATTACTGAACTTGGTTCAACTCAATGATGCATGTTGAGAAGGATGGCTGCACTGGTATCAAAACGAAACGTTACTTCGCTCCTTTGGGAGCACTTTGGTTTTCAGTACGTCAGCTGCTGCGCAGCCAGAGTCCTTGGCCGAGACAGAGCTGCCACCAGCGGCAAAACAATAATAATAAATGCTCGGAGACCTGCTGAAGTCCCGGACAAGCACTGCTTCTGCAACCGTCCCGAAGAGAGTTTGAGCCGAGCTGGAGCTCACTCGCTACCTGCAGGAGGAATGCATCCACCCTAAAGAAACCCCCCTGACACGGTGGAGCAACAACGGGGAGAGATTCCCTTTGCTCGCCAGAGTCGCACGCAAGTACGTGTGCGTTAGTGCAACGAGCGCACCATCCGAGAGGGTTTTCAGTGTTGCTGGAAATGTTGTCACCCCTCTCAGATCCTCTCTCAAACCGTATATGGTTAACATGCTGGTTTTCCTTGTAGGTAACAAGGACGTGACCGAGCTATAAATCACCGTCATTCGTGTGTGTGAAAGTGAAATGACAGTGCGCCCGCCCCCCGGCGCGCGCGCGCCCAGTACATGCAATTTTTTATGCTTGATTTTAAACAACTAAACAAAATGGGGACTTGTTTCTTATTTGTTAGATGCTGCAGCCAAATTTGCATTTAAAAGTTTAACCTTCTCCTGAATGTTGTTGTTTTTAAGTTCAGTCGGACTCCGACTGTCGGAGAAACAAGCGTTACTGCGATCTGTGTTGTTACTGCCCTTTGATCTGCATTCAGTAAAGTGTTAGAAAAGAAGGCACGGCAATGTTTAACCTTTTTTAAATGTGTAAACATTATGTTTAGATGGTACTGCAATAAAAAAAAGGGCTGCAATAATATCGCACACCGAAATATTAAGCCACCCTGAATCACCGCAGGGGGAATTCCTCAACCGCGACAGCCCTAATGTCAATCGGTTTTAGAAAAGGGTAGAGCACTACTACAGCTGTTATGAAGGTGGTAAATGATGTTATAGTAGCACTTGATAGGAAACAGTTTTGTGCCTCGCAGACCTGTCTAAAGCTTTTGATACCGGTGACCATGCTATTTTAAATGGTATAAATGGCCTGTATTTGATATAGCGCCTTCTAGAGTCCTGGAACCCCCCAAGGCGCTTTACAACACAATCAGTCATTCACACACTGGTGGGGATGAGCCACAATGTAGCCACAGCTGCCCTGGGGCGCACTGACAGAGGCAAGGCTGCTGAGCACAGGCGCCACCGGTCCCTCCGACCACCACCAGCAGGCAACGTGGGTTAAGTGTCTTGCCCAAGGACACAATGACAGTGACAGACTGAGCGGGACTCGAACCTGCAACCTCCCGATTACGGGGCGAGCACTTAACTCCTGTGCCACCGTCGCCCCTAATAAACAGATTACTAAGCCTTGGGTTGTCAGAACACTCAGTAGCATGGGTCTCAAATTACCTGAATAACAGGACACAGTGTGTTAAATGTGATTTGCTCTGATTTTGGGGTTGTCCAGAGGGGGGTGCCCCAGGGCTCAGTCCTGGGGCTCCTCCTATTTACCTTGATCATTAATGACTTGGGCCAAAATATTAAAGCTGCTAACATCCATTTCTATGCAGATGATATGATCATCTATTGTTTTGGAACATCACTTCCTCAGGTTGTTGAATCCCAGCAGAAAGCATTTGACGTAGTCCAGCACTCATTACATCAGCTAAAGCTAACCCGTAATGCTGAGAAGACTAAGTTGATGTTTTTTACAAATAGGCAAATGCCAAATAGTGTTCCTGAAGTAATCCCATTGGAAGGGAAAGTCATAGAGATGGTCCATGAGTTTAAGTACCTAGGTGTTCGGATGGATAACTCCCTTACCTTTAAATCTCATATAGATAAACTGGTGAAAAAATTAAAACTAAAGCTGGGTTTCTACTTCCGTGATAAGTCGTGTTTTTCTTTTGAAGGAAAGAAGCTACTTGTCACTACTACCTTTTTATCTGTACTAGATTATGGTGATCTTATATATATGAATGCTTCTTTAACTGTGCTACAAAAACTGGACTCTGTTTACCATGCGTCTCTGAGATTCATCACATGCTGCAGAGCCCCGCCCATAACACATCACTGTGAATTATATTCACGAGTGAAATGGCCGTCATTGGCAATAAGACGACAAAATCATTGGTATGTTTTTATTTACAAGGCAGTGTTTGGATTGTTACCTCCTTATATTTGCACTTCAATCACATGAAAAAATTTTTGATTCCCATTCTTTAAGGTCTAACCATCAGTTGCTGCTTCCTGTTCCTTTTGCTCGCACACAGTTAGGAAAGAGCCCTCGCCTGCTCTGCTCCTTCCGCTTGGAACCAGCTGCAGAAAACCTGGAAAATGACTGAGCAAGTTTCACTAAATGCCTTCAAAACCAAACTGACAGCTTCAGAGATTGCATTAGTAACTTGTAACTGCTTCTAATGACTGAGTGTTTTATCATTGTCATGACGTTGTAACTGTTTGTATTTTTGCTGCCTCTTGGCCAGGTTCTTAACCTCAATGGGTCTCTATCCTGGTTAAATAAAGGTTTAAAAAATCTTTTAAATCTTCCTTTCATTAACTAGAGCACATAACCTAAAACTCTTAGCTGATGAGGTTCAGCAGCGAGAAACTCAACAATGAACACCTGGCAGGAAAAAAACCAAACTAAACAAAAACTTTGTAATTCCACAACAACCCTAACCTGCAGGCACATTTAAAACATCTGATATATATATATATATATATATATATATATATATATATATATATATATATATATATATATATATATATATATATATATATATATATATAAACACATGTAGAATTGTGAGATAAATTGTGAATTATTTTAATTAAAACAACAACGTAAATATATATTTACGTTGTTGTTTTAATTAAAATAATTCACAATTTATCTCACAATTCTACATGTGTTTATATATATATATATATATATACATATATATATATATATATATATATATATATATATATATATATATATATATATATATATATATATATATATATATATATATAAACACATGTAGAATTGTGAGATAAATTGTGAATTATTTTAATTAAAACAACAACGTAAATATATATTTACAGAAAAAAATGAGAAGGTTGCCAATGAATCTTGTATTTTGCTACTTTTGAAGGGTTCATTATTCTGTAATTTTAAATGTAAGCCAGTCCACAAATGTCTGAATATCACCTCAGGTCAGGATTTTATGGTTAACGCTTCAGTGTCATCAATCCTAACTGAAGTCTGAAATAAGGTGTGTGCACCCTGGAGTCCGTGGTGAATGGATGACTCTCCAAGTGTTCGCTACTCAAGCGGGAGTTTGAATTTGGAGTCCAGCTGTGGGTTCTTAGGCTGAAAGGTCAAGCTTCTCATGGTTGCTGTTCTGACGCGTTCAGTGGAAACCGGTGGTCATAATGTTATGGATAATTGGAGTAAATGAACTATACAAACAGACCAGCAGGGGGCGATGTCAAAGGGAAAGTCGCGCTTCACGTAGTTTGTCCCTGTAGGGCCGCCGTAGCGCTGAAAAATACAAACGCCTTTTCCATCGTTTTAAAGGTGAGAACAACTTAACAGGTAAAGATTCCAGTTAAACACCTCAGATGAACCCGCTCACGCGCCTTTAGCTGACCGCGTCTTCAGGAGGAAAGCTGCAAAAGTCTGTCCTCATTTATTTCATTTCTGCTCGTCGGAGGCGGAAATGATTCGTTATGAGGATTTTAGAGACACGGTTATTAACTTTATCTTTACTTCCTGTGAGGCTCTGGAGCCTCAGCAGGACGCAGCTCCAGGTCACGGGCAGGCTCGTGTCCGGAGAGGTGGAGGTGTTTCTGCGGACCCTGGAGCTGCCTGAGCCCCGGAGGACTGGCTCGTTATCCGGACTCCTGCAGAAGGACAGGTGGGTAGGGACGAGCTTCCGGTTCGGTCCTGGCTGCAGGCTTTCCGCGGGGTCTAAAAAGTCCTAACAGCGTTGAATTTAGGAATTTGGAAATGATTCCTTAAAAGGTCTAAAATGAGTGCGGAACGTAAATGACCCGTACCGTGTTTGTCCTCTAGAGTTTCATTTGTCAACCACCATCATTTTTATATTACACCTTATTGTTTTATAACGTAGCATAAATAGAGTGGCGGAACCAATAATAGAGAACCGCCTCGGGTCTAAATACTCCGAACACGTGACGTATTCAGCTCCCGCGCTACAGCAGCGATCCAAAACGGTAAACACACACCGTGTGTGTGTGTGTGTGTGTGCGCGTGCGCGTGGACCACACAGACCTCCAGCAGAGGAGGAACATAGAACATCTCAGCTCATGAGAAAGGCTGACTGACGCCTAGGGCGGGTTCCAGAACTCTGGACCTCTTTGGGACTGAGTGGAAACACTCGTAGGTCCCAGGGCCGGATTAACACTTTGTTACCCTGGGCAACAATATTCAAGGGCCCCATCATAACAACCCAAGAATCACCACAATATGGTCACATACAGAATATTTTACTGTAATATGCAGTAAATATACTCAATACTTGAATGCCTGACATCACGTAACCCGCTCAGGGTAACCTTTGACCCACCTCGTGTGGACTGACCAATGAGGAGAGGGTCTTAACTTGAGGCCCTCTCTTCTGGTCCAAGCTCTTTGACATTAAGTTTTCCACCATAGTTCTCCTCTCGAACGGATACTGGAGAAGAGACCGAACTGAATTCAGTGGCTGCTGAGATCCGGTATCCATGCTGGTTGTAGTCACCGGCGGCGTCCATGTTACATCTGCGTCACGACCAAAAACGTGCTGGAGTAGTCGAGACTCTCCGAGTTCTACCGAATACCAACGAAAGCCTTTGGCGGTAGCTCTATCGCCCATCATGCTTCTGAATCGACGTCGACGCTGATTGGATACATTCCCATTCCTACCGTTTGATTTTCTTGTCAGCAATTGGCCGGCAGCTTCCGTGCTGTTTGGGCGATTGAAACACAGCCTACAGCCTTTCTGTCGCCTCCACCGCTCGGCAGAGAGCTTCTCACCAATATAGATATATACATATATGATTTGTTTTTGTTACAAATCACACAATTAACTTAGAATATGTGATTATTGTTAATTTTATTTATTTTTTTTTAATTAAAATTAAAAACACTGGGGAAAACTGGGAGGGCGGCGCCCTATCACCCTCTACTGGCCAGCCGCCACTGAAAGCAGGAGATTACAGATACAGTATTTTGCTCTTGCCCTTGCTGCCCTGGGCCCTTTAGAGTTCATGGGCCCCTGGGCAATTGCCCAGTTGCCCATATGGTTAATCCGGCCTTGGTAGGTCCCAAATATCAGAAAAAAGTGTTAAAATGTCCCGATGTGCCACTGCAGGTCACATGACTGATCCCGGGTCACGTTATGAGTGGAGCAGGCGCGTCTCCTTTCAGCAACATTAACTAGAAAACAAACGTTTGGGTCGTTTAGCTAAAGTACGCAGCAGCTAAATGCATCAGCAGGAATAGCAGCAGTTTCACCAGCACCTGGTCGTGCAGGGCGGCATCTTAAGAGCTGGAACATGGAACGTCTCTGACTGCAACCAAGTCAACCCGAGTCCATCACCTTCCCAAGCCCTGGAGGAGTGTGAGGATGGAGGCTGATGACAGCAGACCTGGCTGCTGTTATAAAAGCAGTTCAGCAGGTTGTTGTTAACTGCTGTTACTGACATGAAGTCAGCACTAATGAAGCTGCTTTATTCATGTTTACATGTTGGGCCTTTACTGTTTGCACTGCAGCTTTGCTGGAATAAAGTATAATATCAATAAATATAATAAAATAATATAAAGAACACAACCTTTAAGTACTTTGTTATCCTCTCTTCTCGCCATCGTTAAAGTAGTAGTATGAATAAGTACTTCATGGTACCCAGCCCCACTGATGCTGTTATAGACATGTGTTACGTTTAGGGCTGCAACTAACGATTATTTTCATAATCGATTAATCTGTCGATTATTTTTTCGATTAATCGATTATCGGTTTGTTACTGTTTAGCTATTTAACCTATACAAGTGATGGATGCATTTCAGTTAAGAAAAAAAAACATAAGAGAATTGTGCAGTTGACTGCAATCTATTTTATTGCACATGAACACAGTCAGCAGTAGAAAATGAGCTAAACAGTGCAAAATATCAGTCCAGAATAATTTTTTAGCATTAGCTGGAAGCCTGCTCCTTCCACCATGGATAGTGGCCTCATGTCTTTTACCAGCATGTTTAGAATAGAGTTTGTAAGTGGTATGCATTGCTGGGGGGTGAGTGTCTTCTTCCCCATGTAGTTGTCCATCGTTGCTTGTTTTTTTCTGCATAAGAAACACAAATAGACTGAAATAAGTACACATATAAAATAAAGCAGCACACACACTACAACACTAAATCAATGTTAAATTATTTGAATTAATTAACAATATACAGTGATCATTTATTTTGAGGGTTACGTTCTACAAAATAGCCCGCAACAGGAGATATTAAGAAAAAAAGTCTAATTTTTTTACTATTAAAAAGCTCAGAGTAAGAAGCTCATGAGGTTTTTACTTTGAGTCGGGAGTGTTTAAATTAGCTAGAGAAATGTGAAAAATGTTTATTTTGTGTAATACTGTTTAAGAAACATGATAAAAATGTGTTGTGAGGCGTTTTACAGCGTTAGACAGTAAAACAGCCTTTTAATAGTAAAAAAATGACTTTTTCTGAATTTCTCCTGTATTTAAAAATTGAAAGCGTACAACTATGCCGCGTTATATTCACCTGGACACAGCTTGTCTGTATATTTTTCACCGCAGAGTTGTCCTTTTTTGAATGAGGAACATAGTTATGGGTTTGTGCCGTTTTTCTCTTAACGAGAACATTCTTATAAACAGACGTGCTAAATTTGGCAAGCGCATGATTCACAACACGGAGGAGATTCACGATTGCATCTAGTCAATCAGAAGTAGAACACCGCAGACTGACGCGGCAAAAAAACATGTTTAACATCCACTATAACGAACTCAGCTAAAACACTAAGTCCAGCTTGTTTATTTTCTGTTACTTACCGGGCTGGCTCTTCCAAATGACGGCTCACTTGACCGCGGTGCTCTTCCTCTGCTGCATCAGCCCCCACATGCTTTCGTCTCAAATGTGCTCCCATACTCGTGAGGTTTTTGTCCGGGGTTTCTCTTCAGTTTTGTCGCGTCTATTTTTCTTCCGTATTTCCTCTTGTTCCGCCATCTCTCACAGCAAGATGAGCGTCAGTAACGTGATACGTCATGAAAACCGAGGGCACCCATTGGCTCATTTCTTCTTCTACGGCTCCACTGGTAGATCAGTGGCTCATTACTGCCACACACTGGCGGCAAATTTAACAGCTTGTAACCGATGTCAGATTGTGGTAAAAAATAGACTTTATGCGGTAAAATATGATTATTAAACAACTAATCGATGACTAAAAAAGTTGTTAACTATTTTAATAATCGATTATAATCGATTAAATCGATTAGTTGTTTCAGCTCTAGTTACGTTACCATAGCAACCCTTTCTGTGAAAGCCCTAACTGCTCTGCTGCTGCTCTCTACCGAGTGTTTTGGTAAAATATAATAGAGATTAGAGCTGAAACGATTCCTCGAGTACCTCGAATAATTCGAGTACAAAAAATCCTCGAGTCAAATTCTCTGCCTCGAGGATTCGTTTAATTCATATTTAATTAATTCATGGCTTTGCAATCGCCCGGGGTCATGTTTCACCCGGACCGAAATAAGTGACGCACATGCCCACTGGACTGAATGCACGCGCGAGTGGCGAATGTAACTTAACTTTCTCTTAAGCCATGGCGGACAACGTGGACCCCGGTGGAGTTCTAAAAAGACAGAAAATGTCAAGTTGTGGAACCATTTTTCACGTCGTTAGGCGGAAAACGTAGTCCAGTATAAATACAGTAAAAATGGATTTAACCTACCACACCACCACATCCTCCGTGCTGCAGCACCTGTAAATGTCACTTCTGCAAGCGGACTCAGAGCCTCTACAAGATGATGCTTTTTAGCCTGTATTTCTATATATTCTGCGGACACTGTGCGACTTTTTCGTTTGTAGCGCTCAGTTTCAGCTCACACCGTACGTCTGGTAGCAACACGTCGGGCTTAAAATGTGCTAAAAATAGCAGTTTTTACACAACACGTCAGACTTTTTATTGTGTTATTGATGTCTGTTGTCCCTCGGGGTTTCTGCAGCAGGACACGGGTATTTATGAGTGTCGGAGGAAAACGAAAGAAAGTAAATACATGTTTTGTGATCAGTATAATTTGACAAAACCACAGCAAACATGCTTTTGGCAATCCTTGTTAGTGTGAGAAAAAAAGTGTGGAAATTAAAACGGACGTGTGTTAATAGGGAAACAGCCGGCGAGCTGTTTGCGCCGTGAGCGGTTCTGGTTCTGTTTGGGCCGCAGCCGCTCGCAGCGTTATCCTCCTAGTTTTTGTCTGGCTTGCAGGCTAGCAGATTCTCGCACGAGGGGAAAATCGGCTCAGGTTTACTTATTTTTTGCACACGCATTTGTTTACTGTGAAGTAAAGTTGAAGTGCTGAAGTTATGCAAACTAATTTTGAATAAAACTTGAATAACTGGCAATTGCTTGCTCATTTTAAGAGGTTTTTCATAATTATAACATGCTATTTGATATCAAATCAAATCACTTTTATTGTCACGTCACATGTGCAGGTACACTGGTACAGTACATGCGAGTGAAATTCTTGTGTGCGAGCTTCACAGCAATAGAGTTGTGCAAAAATACAGTAATGTAAAAACAAGTAAAATATAAAAATGGCTAATCTAAGTATACAAATGAATAAAGTAAACAATAAGATAAGAGATATAAAATGTACAGAGGTTGGTATGTGCAAAACAGTGGCATTAATGTACAGTATGGAGCGTGTATTGTTGGAACTTGGTGGAGCTCGCGACGAGGCAGCCATACTCGACGCCATCTTGGCTCATCAATATATGATATAAAGGTTTACAAACACAAAAGGGTAATTTATTAGAGTACTCGATTAATCGAAAAAAAGATTCGATAGAGTACTCGATTACAAAAATATTCGATAGCTGCAGCCCTAATAGAGATAAATGAACACAAGTTCAGGGAGTCATGTTGCTGGTCGGGCTGTGAAATGGATATTAATCTTTATAGAAGAGGTCTTAAAGGCTTTCCTTTAACTTGAGGAAACATGTAGGAACCCTGTGGCTGCTGACCTTTGACCCCCTTAACGTGTGCTTTCTTATTTGACAGAGTGTTACCCTGAGGCGTTGTGTCCTGGATTGTGAGGTAGATGAACACCAATAAGCCAAAACATTAGGACCAGTGGATGGGAGGGGTGAACCTCTGGTTACCATGGCGCCCGGCAGCGGGTGTAGGTGAGATTTCTGAGCCCGAGGCTGCTGGACCCCATGGGGAAGGGGAAAGATCTGAGCGACTTTGAGAAGGGCCAGATCGTGATGGCCAGACGTTTGGGTCAGAGCATCTCCAAAACGGCGTCAGTTGTGGGATGTTCTCGCTCCGCCGTGGTCAGCACATTCCAGCGCTGGTCCAGAGAGGGGAAACTGGTGAACCAGCGACAGGGTCACGGACGGCCGAGGCTCATTGACGAACGCGGGGAGCAAAGGCTTGCCTGGCTGGTCCAGTCCAACAGAAGAGCGACGGTGGCTCAGATCGCTGAGGAGGTGAATGCTGGTTCTGAGAGGAAGGTGTCGGAGCACACGGTGCGGCGCAGTATGCTGCGTTTGGGACTCCGACACCGCAGAGGAGGCAGAGCCACCTTTTTATCTGAGACCGGTTCTGATGCACAGCAACAGGAACCGGATCAGGACGGTGGTCCTGTCCAAAGGAACGTTTCACAGGAGAGCTCAGAGCCAGAAGACACTCCATCAGGCTAAAGCCGTGGACCAGATCAAGTCATACCACTTTCTGATTTAAGCTGAAATGTTTCTGTTCTTGTTGTGAATCTAATAAATCTGTTGTAGGAGAATCCAGATTCTAGTGGGAAACAAAGCAGCGTGTTGGTTTTACGTCACTTATTTATCATAAGCCAGTGTTTGGTCACCAGCAGCTGATCTGACCAAACGGCTGATCTGGGTGTGAGAGGGTTAGTATAACTCCAGTATAACTGGTGTTTGGACCCCCGCCGTCCAGACTCCCCAAAATACTGAAGCTAGGATGTAGGGTTCAAATTTAAAATCACGTCAGCTTTAGTTTGAATTCTGGAGACGTGAGCCTGAGCTGAACAGCTGCGTTTGACACATTGAGGAGGTTGTTTTTCTGGGTTTTTTTTTTGAACATGGTTTAGTCTGACTACACTGCTGCTGTCCAGGATCCTGTTCAGCAGTCACACCTTCAGATCCATAGATGGACAGATTAGCTCAGTAAAACCGTGTTTTATGTCTTCTGTGATTCTAGAAGATTCGTTTGATCTGCAGAGATGGACAGCAGCTCGTTTGTATTTGAAATAAACGGGCTCATAGTTAAACGTCTGAAAATCCGGAGTTGTTTTTATTTATTCGTAAACATTCTAGTCAATGACCACGGCGACGCTTTCTGATGACGTCACCCCGCGCGGCTCGGTGATTAGCAGCTTACGTAGCAGAGCGAAGCTAACGAGGGTTCAGCGGCATTACCGGACGGCTTCTCGCCTGAATTACGGAGACACCAGGTAGATCCAAATGACAGCTGTGTTTTCAAGTGCGATATGGAACCGGAACGGTCTCATTTTCATCACAGGACCGCAGTTTTTAACGCAACGCTGACGTAATTAGCTTTCTGAGGGCTAGAGCCGTGTGCTGGAGGACTCGCGTCACTCCCCCGAAAAAACGTCCCCTAAAACCCAAACGGCTCCAGGATTAGCCCGCAAGCACGGTGGATAAAAGTTAACAACAAAAGTGAAGATCCAATACCCGATGTTTAATTCGGCGCATGTTTTATGCAGCTTTATATGGTTATAACGTGTAGGCTTAGAGCTGCTAGCAGCGTCGCCCTCCAGATTCCTGAAATGCTTCGAGCTTTGACGTTGGTTTTATTTCCTTTATGTTGCCCTGGAGAGTGGACTGTAACCTTTAGGGATCACGGCTTGTAGAGGATTCCCATGGGCCGTTGTGTCCCGCAACCTGGGCTCCTGGAGCAGGCGGTGCTGTGGAGAGAGAGGAGCTTAGCGGGGCTGTCTACACCGAGCGACACCGGTTTTCAGGCGAAGTCTCCCCCTGGTTGAAAATTGCCCCCCCCCCCCCCCCCTATAAGAAGAGTGCTAGTTTTCTAGCTGCCATTGCGTCCTGGTGCTAAAACGAACTCATTCTGAATGAGTGGAAGAAAACTGGTCCTGAACCTGCTTTATTAAAGTGCATGTCAAGTGTGCCTCAGAGTCTTACCCCACCCACGTATCAATTTTGAAAACTGCAACATTAGTAGGCGTTGCCTGGAGGACCGAGAGGGCGGAGCCGTGGCAGTGACGAAGAGACGGCTAACTAGACGAAGCTAGCTCCCTTCACTCTGAGCAGTCATTAGAAGTGGAGGACGTTTCTCCCCCTCCTTACCCAGACACTCGAGAAGAAAGGGACCAAGTCTATTTGGAGGAGACAAGCGGACATGAGCCTTATTGTTTTGAGCTTGTGAGTTGCCTGAAATTACTGGAACCGACCCAACAGACCCATCTCTGAACGTAAGTAGCCGTTAGCCATAGCATTGGATTAGCTGCAGGGTTTGTCTCCATGGCCCTAAAAAGCTAGTATTCAGCATGTTTTAGAGATTTAACTGCATCAACACACCTGGTTTTAATCAGCAACAAACAGCTGAGCTGCTTAACAGCTTATCTAACCTGTTAAAGCAGGAAAATCCACTGAAACGTGCTGGATAGCAGCTCTCCAGATCTGGGCTCAAGCTAGTCTGCTGCATAAAGTTATGAAAATATCCCATGAGAAAATTATTCTGTAATGTGTTCAGCCCATTAAAACTGCCCTGATTTCATTATTTATTTACTGATACTAGCTGCTCTTGGTTGCAGGTGATCCTCTGGTGTCTGCAGCTGGTCTCCTGCTGATGTCGTCGGGATCAGGAGCTTCCAGAAGAATGTGCCTTTCAATGACTCTTTCCCCCTTATTTGTTATATTAATTAAATAAATCTCAATTTATATATTTCCTGTTTTTGTTCATGTCCATAAATACTTAAACATGCTTGAAATTAAAACGAGCTTTTAACAGTGAGGTGCTAGTTTAATTCATCACAATAGAGCTAGTTAAACATGCGACAATGTGATAATTCAATTAATGTAATTTATAAATATCCATTAAAATATCAAAACTGGAATCAAAATGAGATATTTGGCAGCACAAAAAAACTTGTCAAACACAATATTTATTATAATAATTGTAGGCAGACAGGAGACAGAGCTAATGGAGGTTCTCAGTCATCAAAGGATGGCTGAAGGCTTTCCAGGAACAGGAGATGTGGTGTTGTCTCTTCTCTCTCTATTCTGCCAGATGAGCTGGTAGGTTACAGGTGTGTGAGGACATCCTCATGCTGTCATAACCAGATGACAGGAGTTATCAGGTGATCAGCCAGGCTAATGATGAGATGCAGAAAGAAAACAAATCATGCAGAAAGAAAACAAATCCAGGACAGTGTACAGTAATAAAAATAATATGTGGTGTTGCTTACCTTATGTGCTCTTATTGAGTATTAACGTGTGCCTGCCTCATGGTGTAGAGTCCATATTTTGCTGAGTGTCCTGCAGTAATGCAGGTTATTAGTTAATTTACTTTTGATAGCAAAAACAAAATATTTAATTTAAAAGTTATTTACCAGGTGAATCAGCTCACACGTCACCACCTGGTGGTGACCACCAAGTGTCACAGGGCCAGAATCAGTAGCCTCCTTCATGATGTAATCACATACTTATTTAATTGTTAATATCTTAAAAATTCAGAAATGTTTTAATTTTTTTTTACCTTGAACAGTTCACTGAGCTTGCACTGTCACTGAGGTGGAAGCTGGAATCAACAGCAGACACCTCACACCGTGGTCTTTTCAGGAGGTGTGGATGCTCTGGGACCTTCTGGAAGATGAATTTCTGTCATGGTCCCTGTGTCACAAGACACTGAGGCTGTGAGCTCTATAAAAACAAAGAAGCAGCACATTTATAAATGTTTAAAAGAGCATAAAATCACTTGTAACAATCTGTAAAACAAATTAAAACTAGAAGGTAATAAAATGTTTACATAGAAGATTATTAAAAATAATTCACCTTTGCTACGGGTAACACCACGTCAGCCTGGACAAGTGCATTCTTGCAGATTACTAAATCAGTCTGACAGCCAGTGTCTTGGGTAGATTTAGCCTGAAAAAAAAATAGAAGCACATTGATGTTTATAAAGTCAGATAAAATACAAAAGAAACTGTCCCATATAGGCGCTTTATAACATTCCTAGTGTGTGATGTTATTATAAAGTAAAAGTCAGTCACATATGATGTGGAGACCCTGAAATGCGACCTCCTGAACAGAATTCCTCACGGAACCGGGTCACGCTGTGCTAGATTTCACGCTGTAATGCTGTCTGTCAACTAGTGCTGCGTCAGTTTAGAGTCACTGTTGCTGAATTACCGACTGACACAAAAACAACCCGAATTTTCTCTGAGCCTGACAGTCATGTGGACCGTTTTGTCGGCCAGGGCTTCGAGATATGTTCCGATTCGCCGCTGATTCTACCCTTACATCCCGTTCCACATTTTGTGAACTTGACAAAATAGCCCGAAGGCAGTGCAGACTGATATTAGCTAAATGGAGTGAACCACGTCTCTCAAACTTTGCATTTAGGTAGGAAATTGTCTTTAGAAGATGTTAAAACTTTCATTTAGCTTACTCACCTCAGACTGTAGCCCGTCATGGTGGGGGAGCAGAGTCGGTGGGCTGCATCTAAATCGCGGAAGAGCCACGGTGGGCACAGCCTCCCTCTTGGAACGGAGACGTGCAGAATCGCGGGTAAAATGCTGGTTGCAAACTACAGCACCAGGCGGGAGCTGAATCTTTTCCAGACACGCAACCACTGGCGCCTAATTTCTAAGTCCAGCGGAAAGGAGTGAAACCCGACAGAGCTCCGCAACCATACTACACTACACCATCTCACCATGCTAACACGATATGGAGCACTAAACCCGAACTACTTTCCTAATTACACTAACAGCCAAACAGTAACTAAACTACAATATCCAACAGCCAAGCTAACACTAAATAAGTATGTATAACACTAAAAGCTATGCTAAAGACTAGGATATGCTAATGCTATATGCTAATGCTGAACTACGGCTAGCCTCCTACACTCTCATGCAAATCCAACTCCCAACTTGCCACAAGGCGTGGCCGAGACTCCCGATGCTTTTATAACGTTGACACAGAGCTGCTACGTAGTACTCTACTGGATTACGTAGTATCTTACTCTTTAGCCATTGGCTAAAATTTATTCAAAATGAGTCAAATTCTATGTTTTAAGCTGAAGGTGGAGCTATACTGTGGTATTTAGGCAGAATTTTTAATTTTTTAAGAAAATGCACCAAAATGCTAAAATAATGAATACACACATTTAAAACACTATTAGACACTCATTTATACAGTTCATCAGCAAAAAAAAGTTAATTTAGACGTTACTTGCTCTTTAACGAGTCAGCTGTTTGAGTTTGACCTGAGTGACAAAGCTTCTTTCCGGACTATTTCTCTTATCTGATGGCACCATCTAGTGGCCGACAAGCATATCACACACAAACTCTGTTCCTCGTTTGTTTAAGATGGCGACTTCACGCTTCTGGTTATAAATGTAGCGACAAACAGCTAAACACGTTGTTTACGAGTGTTATTATCATGTCATGTTGTGTTCTCATATATTTATGTTTTAGAGACTTTCTTGTCCGTGAAAAGTTCATCAACTCTGCGTCAGCGTAGGTTTTCCTTACATCTGAAGCAAGTAAGCGGTAGTCCAATGCTATTGGTTAGTTCTGGTCAGGGCTCAGTTCTGCGGGGCAGGGGGCGTGGTTAGCAAAAAAGACGTATGGTTTACAATATATCACAGTACATGATGAGATAATCACTTTTACGGATTTCTGAAAAATCCTACATTTCTGAAAGCGGAAAACTCCGGAAAGCAGCTTTAAAGAAAGAAGGAGAAGAAAAGATCTTTTCTAAAGTGCCTCTCAAGATAAAAATCACAAGGTGCTTCACAGAAAATGTAAAATATAAAAAAAGAATTTAGAAAATGATTAAAAATATATTTAAAAAGAGCAAAAATAGACGACTGTGATTAAAAATGTAGAGAAAGAGTGAAAAGGAAAGAGGGAAATCAGTGGATCCTGAGGAAGGTGGAATAGGTAGGGAGAACAGAACAAGGAGAGGGAGGTGATGAAGGTCACACAAAAGCCTGAACAGGCGAGTTTAAAGGAGACCACTGAGTCCAGTGATCTCAGGGGGAGAGTTCCAGAGTCTGGGGGTCACAGCAGCAAAGGCACGCTATGCTAATGTTTATATTTGTAAAGAGCGAGTAACGCCTAAATCAACCTTTCTGCTGGTGACCCATATCACGAGTGTCTAATAGTGCTGTACACGTTTAATCATTGCTTTGGCAGTTTAGTGCATCTTACTTAAAATATAATATTTCAGCTCAGAGCTGTAATTCTGTCTCCGTCTTCAGGTTAGAGTCAGCCACCCGCTGATGGCGGCCAGCGTTGGGAGGGGCAGCGTTTACGTATGATGACGTTCTCTGTAGGTAACGGAGTCCTGTACTTTCTCCTTGCTGCAGCTCTGTGACTGCACGTGAAGTGGCGTCTTACTAAAATGTGTTTGAAAGAAGCGCAGCAGCGCTAGCAGGCTGTCGACAGCCACACCACCAACGTGCAGGTCAGGTACGCGCCTGGACCCCCCCATCCCGAGCCGGTAAAGACTCATTTATTCTCCTCCGTCTGCTCCACGAGGCCCGGGAGATGCACTGACCCGCTGTGGTCAGCTGGCTCACTTATCCTGACACTTGAAAGAATCAGAATTGGGAATCGATAAGAACTGGAATGGAAACGAGGGATTGGAATCGGAATCGTTCTAATTAAACAATTCCCAACCCTACAGCTCTATCACAGGTTCGCTGGCTAATTCTGGAGTGTAAGGTCTGGTTCCCACAAACACCCTGACCCAACCCAGCATACTCAGCAGAAACCAGGCTAAAGTGGTTTGCACATACTGACTGGTTCTGGGCTCCCTGGGTGGCCACCTTACCGTTGTGGAGGGGTTTGAGTGTCCCAGTGATCCCAGGAGCTACGCTGTGTGGTCGGGTCCCCCATGGCAAACAGGTCCTAGGTGTGGGACCTGACAAACAGCAGCCTAAAGAGCCTATGATGACAAACAGGGTGTTCCCTTGCCCGGACGTGGGTCACCGGGCCCCCCTCTGGAGCCAGGCCTGGAGTTGGGGCATGTTGGTGAGCGCCTGGGTTTTCCTCCTGGAGCCCGGGTGGGCGTAGCCTGAAGAGGAGACTACTGTCCCCCTTCCGCAGCAGCCCGAACGCATTCCTGCTTCTCCGCATAAACCTGAAGGGGTCACCTGCTTGTGGTTCTAGTCAGGAGGTTCTGTAGCTGTATGAATGTTGTTTTGGATGAGCTCGCTCTGCTGTGCATGATGTCAGTCACAGCCGTGGCCCCACCCCCTCTCTGGCGCTCTGTCAGCAGCCAGGTGTGGAGAAGGTGTGAAATAATGCTCAGATGCACTGATGGAGATGACCTCTGCGATGTTCTTGTAACGTTTTGCACATGGTTACGTTTAATAAACAGTCAATGGAATACTGAGGTAATAAAATGTAATGTAACATAAAAGTGGATTATCAGGATTATTGATCCTTTAATATTCGATGATGAAACTCGGTACTTTGGTTAATCGGGGAAACAACACTATAATAATCTGACTCAGAGACAAAAATGTAGTTTATAAAATCTGTTTATTACTATATTAATGATGATGAAAGGCTAATGATTATAAATATATCATATAAACCACTCTGACGTCCACACACTAGCGATGCTCCTTTACCAAAGCTCTTTAACCAGCCTTAACGGTTATTAACCAGTTAACCGTAAACCAAGCAGCCCTTTTACCTCTCTCTAAGTGGCACTGGCCCACAGGTGCTGTCGGAGAGGAACTGGTGGAGGTGCCAGTTTCAGCACAACACCGGCTACATTACAGGTGCTGTGTTGGAGCCAGCCGGTGAGCTTTAGGGTTCAGCTGGAATCGCTCGTGTTTCTAAACCACAGCTGGACTCACCTGTGTTCCAGGTGTCTCTCTCACTCACTCACTCTCCACCATCATGACGGACACCAAGCGTCTCGCCTTCTCCATCATTCGGTTCCTCCATGACCAGCTCCAGTCGGGGAATCTGACCCCAGATGCTCAGGAAAGCCTAGAAGGTGAGTTTCATCATTCTGACGTGTCTAATTGAGCAAGATAAAACTTGATGCCAGAGATATTGAAGAAATACCCAAATGGCTTGCCCTAAAGCGCTGAGCGGGTGGGGGAAGGGCCTCCGAAGCTGCAGTTTTATTCTGAAGACAGTAAAGAGAAATAAGCAGCTTCAGGACTTCTCGGGGTTCTCTTCATCTCCTTCAGTTGCTGCTCAGTGTTTGGAGACAGCGTTTGAAATCTCCACCGATGACCAGAGTCTCGCCGTCCCGCTGACGTTACCCGAGATCTTCACCGCAGCCACAGCCAAGGTGTGTGACGAGCTCCACTTCTGGATTTTGGTGTTTCTGGGTCCGGTCTGATGCCGTTTTTGTGTCCCAACAGTTTCCAGCTCAACCGCAGGCCAACAACTCCAGCCCCAGTTTGCCCACAGAGGAGCAGAAAGCTGAAGCCGAGCGGCTGAAAAGTGACGGTGAGTCCCGCTTCAGGTCCTGGGTGTGCGCGCTAACCCAACCTGGTTCAGAACCAAGAGCTGCAACACGCTGGACTCGCTGTACCCGCCGATGTTGTCCTAAACCCACGTGAACATTGTTAGTATCGTCAGCACATCTTGACTTCCTCCCTGTCAAAGCCAACTCTCTGTCCTACCAGCAGCTCTGGTCCATCTTCAGGTTGGAGGAAAGTTGCTGTGAAGCTGCTGCTGCTGTGGAAATCCCACATTTCAGACTCCGCCTGTGCTGTAGTTGAGGTGTTTTAAAGCATCCAGGTGGAGTGCATTTAAAGTCCCATTAGTCATCACGCACTGGTGGAATAGACCGCATCTCCACCGTTGACCCAGCTGTGGCTGTATCCGGTGGTTTAAGCTCCTGATCCAACCCCTTAAAGAGCAAGTCACCCCCTACCAGAGCCTTACTTCACTTCCTGTTTGATGTTGTTGCCTGGCAGCCCGCCGGTCACACACAGGCCCACAGCGGCATTGTTGCATCATAATGTACCTCTTAGCCAATAGCGATGGCAGATTTAAATTGTAATGCAGTGCTTGAAATCCTTGAAAATGCTTGAATTGCAAGCCTTTTTTAAGTGTATCTGGTAGTTAACTTACAGTAGATGTTGTGACAAGGGCGTTCTTTATGGCATCTATACTTCCAAGACCTTCTCCACAGTTTGTATCAACTCCACCATCTTCCAGGCCTGGCGGACTCGTCCTCTGCACAGAGAAAGAGTCTGGTTCCTCTCAGGCACAACGGCACGAGGGCGGCCCGACTAGGCAGCTCAACAACGACCAATCAGAAAACAGAGGAAATGCCGACTGTACTGCTGTAGTAACAAAAGGCGTCTGGCGACGGCACAAACGTCTTTTATTCTAGAAGAAAGGCTTTTAGCGCTTCTACTTGTTGTTTTAAAGACATGCCCAAGTCGTTTAGACCAGAGGAAAGAGCCGCGGCCAACTCCGCTTCAGTCGCCATGCTTATGACAAACTCGGCGTTGTGGTGTGTGACGTATGCTCAGTGCTGATCGGCTCGTTAGAGACCTCAGGGGGCGGGGTTAATTGAATCGGAGCGTTCCCAGACCCTTTCTCTGTGCAGCATTAACCAGAGGAGGAGTCTGGCGGGCCAGGCTAGTGTCTTCCTTGGATGGTGGTTTCTAACAGGAGGAGTTCCCTTCCACTGTTGGGATAGCAGCAGATGTTTGGTTTCCGTGGCTGTTCTCCAGAACGCCAAAGGTGCAATCTGCAGTGCTATACGTTGTGAGGTGGAGGTCTTTTGTCATTTGATCATCAAGGCTGTCCAGCAATTGGACCTTCTTCACTTCTTTTGAGCCAACGGGTTGACCTTGCTTCCCAATCTGTTTTCCATCGGTGGAGATCCCCTTAGGTATCAGAAACCGTGGGGAGAGAGGTGGGTTTGAATGTAATAACTGCTATGATAGGATTTCCCGTTGTTGTCACCTGTTTCTGTCTTCAGTGTCTTCCTTTATCCGTGCTTGAATGAAGCTGGCCTTTAGACAGCCTTGGTAGCTGAAGCTCCGTGTTTGGGATGTGTGTTCGGAGACCTGAACATCTGAAGGAATGCTTTTCTTCCACTCACCATACGCCCTCTCGCAGCCTTTACCAGCTCTTTCAGGTGGTTCATATCAGGCTTCACAACCAGGCAACGCTTCCCCTTTTCTTCACCGTTTTTATTAGTCCCTGACCAAATCAGTGGTAGCGTTAGCGGCAGCTTTAGCACATGCTTCAGCGCCAGGTGACAAGCCGGCTGCCTCTCTGGGATTATAAATATTATTTTCCCTTTTTCAGACGATATAAACACTTCGGATCACTTGTTTCCTTGTAGGTGTTAGCGCACCCACAGTGATCCCGTCGCTTTTATAGTCCCCCTGGTGCTTCCATCTTGGTTCCTACTGCTTCTCGAGCCTGACTCGACAATTCATAATAATATTATTAATGTGTGACCATACTGATCAACAAAGTAGACTAATCTGGTATCATTTAAGATCTGGAATAAATCATTATAGGAATAAACATTTACTGTAGAGCATTCGGCATTATTAAAACACATTTACTCATAACATATATGACTGTAATACCTTGTAAAGTTAGGAAATAATGTTATGAGCCAGAAAAGATCCCTATTCAAAGAGTCTTGTGTCCTCAGAGGTGTCTTGTGACATGGATAATGCTCAAGCTGAGAGATATTCATAATCTCCTGGTGTCGGGTTGGCACGACCTACTTTCATCCATTTGATGAAATAAGGCCTTGAGCAGAACCTTTAAATGTAACTAAGATGCACTAAAGTGCCAAATTATGGACTGCACGTGTCTGCAGCACGATTAGACACTCGGTTCTACAGTGGATCTGCAAAAACGTAGATTTGGGGGTGACTTGCTCTTTAAAGCTGCGTGTCAAGCAGGGAGGCATTGGGTCTTTGGTATGACTAAAGACTGGGACTGGGAGATCAGAGTTCAAGTGAGCCAACAGCGGTTCTGCCGGTGCTCTGGGATCTGTTTGTGGTTTATGAGCTGATGAATGGCGTCTGGTTCCTCCTGCAGGAAATGACCAGATGAAGGTGGAGAACTTTGCAGCAGCTGTGGAGTTTTACGCAAAGGCCATCAGTATGAATCCTCAGAATGCCGTCTACTACTGCAACAGGTCAGTCTTCTACCCTGGGGATGACTGTAATGGCCAGAACCACAGAAACCAGTGGGATCTCAGCTGATGGATCCATGCAGCTGATTCATGGAGCGGCTGTTGGTGTTGTTGCAGAGCGGCAGCCTACAGTAAACTGGGGAACTACGCCGGCGCCGTGCGGGACTGTGAACAGGCCATCAGCATCGACCCGAACTACAGTAAAGCCTACGGCCGGATGGGGTGAGTTGGCTCTGTTCTCGGTTGGTCAGCGGAGGAGAGAACTACACTTCCATTCAGTAAAACATACCAATTCATTTCTGTGGTGCATTTAACTCGTTCACTGCCAACGACGACTAAAGTCGTCACTAGCATGTTTTTACTGTGTGGGCGTCGGACGAGCCCCCGCACCGTGAGAACAAACATCTCAGCTCTAAAGCCGATCTTCGTCCGCATACGTCACACGTCACGTGATCAGGAAGCAGAACATCCACGTGTTAGGAGATCGTTTTGGGCCGCTGCTGTAAAAAAAGTGAGGCGCGAACTGGAAAAGCTTCTGCCGATCACAATTCAACACCGGATTATGAAAGAACGGATAACGCTCGAAACGCGCGGATTCTTCCTGATGTAAGAGGTGAGTCTCCGCTTTGTTTTGGTTGTTTTGGCGTCGACATCATCCTAGCGCGCAACGTTCTGTCACTCTTAAAAAAAACAGTAAACACGCTGAAAACCGCTGGCAGCGAAGGGCTTTAGCGATCAGGAAACGGCCGGCAGTGAATGAGTTAAACAGCATGGGAGCTGACCAACACGCCTCCCAAACAACAACATCAAACAACCGTCACGTAAAAATACAGGTAAAACAATCAGTAAAAGCAGCAATCATCATCTTTTTCGTACAGCCACCCAGCACTAATCACATAAATGCATTAGCAGAAAAATAAATGTCAAAGACCACGATATAAAGTCTAAAAGCAAAAGTGTCTTCAGATGTGACTTGAAGGTACCAGTGGATGGTTGCAGGTGACTAGTGAGTGGCAGTGCATTCTGAAGAGTGGGAGCAACGGACACGAAGGCTGAGCTCACCCCCCATGCCTTGCAGTTCATAGTCGGGGTGCGCCGCCCTCCCGGTCCACCAGGCAATCCACCCTATTGGTACATTTTTCAAACAGGAAATGTGGGTGGAGTCAGAGCTCTGGTGGAGGGGTGACTCCCCTGTTGCTTCCTCTCATTAGGGCGTGCCCCCCGATGGAGCAGCAGGCCATCCTATATAAGTGATTATGTTGTCTGACCACGACCCACAGACAGTCATGGGACAGTCTTTAGTTGTCTCAACTGTCTCCACATGCTATTGGACAACAAACAGCGTGATGTACTCACCTCTACAGACGCCAGTCAATGGGGCGGTCCACCATACTCCGTCAAAGAAGAGGCAAATTCAGCCTTTTTAAAGGGACTTTACAGAGTTTTGAATGTTTATGCTCATGATTGCCCCCTCAGGCCAAAAGCGTAACGGCAGCTTCAATAGCAGGCTCGTGCACGAGGCACGCATGCTGTACGTGCACACTCCTTAACGAAAATAACAGCTGAGACAGTCCCGTGTGTGTGTGTGTGTGTGTGTGTGTGTGTGGGTGGGTGGCCCAGAGGAAAGGAGAACGCGCAGCTAATTAATTAAATAATTTGGTTCTGTAGCTTTCTCTTCAGCACAGCCGACAAAGGTTTATGATGGGTCAGTCCTCCTGCATGCTCAGATCATTCCCTTCCCTTGCTTGATAAATTGTTCCAAAATGAAAGTTGAACCCACATCTCTTTTATCTGTGAATTCAACGCCGTTCTGCGAGTCTCAAAGAAAAATTTGGGCATCTTACTGTAAAAAATATACCATTAATGTAAAAAATAAACTCTAAATAAACTATGTTCACACCCAGAATCAAACCCAGGTCTTCTGCACAAGAGTCTAATGTTTAACTAGATGAGCTAAAGCACCAGTAACGTCCTTGGTATCTGTAACATTTATATCCTTGATGACGGCTGAAACAACGTTCAAAGAACGGTTCGGAGTGAAAATGGCTATTTTGTTGCTAATTAGCAGGAAATATCTAGAAGAAAGTTCTACAGAAAGTAGCTAAGGGTCCTCAGAAATGTAGCTAGCTTTGTCACTAGGCGTTAGGAACAGCGACAAAGTGGCACTGCCTCTCTCTCTGCTGCTAAAGCTACGGATAGCAAATGCTACGGGCGATGCCTGAGCGTGAACGCGCATGAAGCAGCCTGCTCGACCCGAGCATCTCTCTTTTTCTGTCATTTTACAGAAAAACAGACAATCACAGTAAAAATGCCAGGGCTCATCCTACAGGACCAGGGCATTGCAGGAGAATGTATGAAGAAGACATTTATTATTTCTATACGTGTTTTGGCTGTCAGACTTCCATAATGACCCTTTAAATAAAGTACTTAAAGCAGGGGTGTCAAACTCATTTTAGCTCAGGGGTCACATGGAGGGACATCTAGTCCCAAGTGGGCCGGACCGGTAAATAAAAAAAAAATCAGATTGTTTTCTTTGTTTTAATGCAATCAATATAAAACAAGGCTGGAGCCTGAGGACAGTGTAGTACAAGTACAACACCTGAAGTGTACTTGAAAATTTGAAAAAGAAAAAAAAAATCAATAAATCAACAAATAATAAAAACATTCCTTAGTGATTCAAAGAGTTTACAGATCACATGGCTAGATCAGTTTCATGCAGCACTTAAAGTATATTTGACTCATTTTACTTTACATCTTTTAGCTTTCACCGGCACATCAACATCAGGAGTCACATCCTGAGTGGCGCCAACTTCAGGATGTGATTCACGTTCTTGTGTGAGCCTTGTGTGCAGCTTTGTTTTATTTATACTCATTACAGAGGAAACCTGCTCACAAAGATACGTTTATTTTCACTCTACATTGTAAAGTATGAAAATAAAGTTTACACAACCGTCTCGCGGGCCGGATTTAACCCGCTTGCGGGCCGCATGTTTGACATCCCTGACTTAAAGTCCCTTTCTGGAGGATTTCTCTTACCCGATGGCACCATCTGGTGGCCGACAAGCACAAAAACTGTTGATCTGTTTGTTTAAGATGGCGACTTCACGCTTCTGGTTATAAATGTGCTTCTGTAGCGACAAACAGCTAAACACGTTGTTTACGAGTGTTATTCTCATGTCATGTTGTGTTCTCATATATTTATGTTTTAGAGACTTTCTTGTCCGTGAAAGTTTATCATCATCAGCCGAGGTTTTCCTTACATCTGAAGCATGTAAACGGTAGTCTAACGCTATTGGTTAGTTCTGGTCAGGGCTCAGTTTCCTATTGCACGGAGCTCTGCGGGGCAGGGGGCGTGGTTAGCAAAAAAAAGGTGTATTTTTACGGATTTCTGAAAAATAATTTCTGAAAGTAGAAGGACGCGACAGCAGCACTCTGAGCCGGGATCAAACCTACAACCTTCTGATTAGCGGACAACGCGCTCTACCTCCTGAGCTGCTGCTGTCCGAGGCTGAAGACATCCCCGTCCATCCTGACCGCTGTCTCACCTCAGTCACCGATAATCTGCTGCTAGTCGGGATTTTTCATACTTTATTAGCAGCAAATCAGATTTAATCTGGAGTGTAAAAAGCAGTAGAAATATTTCCATGCACCTTAACTGCTGTCTAAGCTGCTTTCAAGCACAGATCTCCAGTTTTCGCCTGAATGTGTTTGGTGGAGTGGATCTGAGAGGAGGGGGAAGCCTGAGGAGCTCCATCGTGATGGCTTTGTGTTCTCATGTTTCAGGTTGGCTCTGTCCAGCCTCAGCAAGCACACAGAAGCAGTCAGTTACTATAAGAGAGCTCTGGAGCTGGACCCGGACAACGACACCTACAGAACCAACCTGAAGATAGCTGAGGAGAAGATGGAGACCCCCAGCCCAGTGAGACAGTCGTCTTTGTGAGGGACAGCTCATGGGAGCGAGTGTCTGAGTGGAGCATTTCTTTGTGTCAGTCTGCAGGTTTGGGGGGCATCGATCTGGCCGGTCTGCTCAGTAACCCCGGCTTCATGAACATGGTGAGTTGGATGTTTCTTGTTTGGACCGTTTGGACCCAGACTTGCTGTCAGAACCACGACAGGTGGGCTGACATTTGTTTTTCTTGGAGGAAGAAAAGAGAAAGAACCCCATCCCATAAACTTTTGAGCATTTGGCGGCATCCACAGAGATCACCTGGAGGGAAAGGACGGCCCCCCCGCCCCTAACCATTCCATCAGATGCTATCATGTTTATCGGCACTGGTTTAAATTACATTAATAATAATAATAATTAGATTCATGAAGCGCTTTTCTCACACAACCGTTTTCTGTACAGGTACTTTTTCTCCTCGGTGAGCAAGGGTGCCCCCAAGGGGTGGCCAGGGGTGGCCATGGCCACCCCTAGAAAAGTGCTGCCCCCCCAGGAAAAGTCAGTGTTAATAAATCATGTTAATGTTCAGTCAAACCATATATTGGTCTTGTTTATTCAAGACATAATTGTAAAACAAAATAAAAATAATACAATTAATAAAGGAATAATCAGAATAAAAAAACAAACACGTTTTCCGCCGCTGACCATTCTAAAAAAAGTTTTTATCTCCGTAGTTTTTTTGTGAACACATCAGTCTAGGTCACACCCTTCTGCATCTAGTCACTCGTTATCACACACACACACACACACACACACACACACACACACACACACACACACACACACACACACACACACACACACACACACACACACACACCAAGGTGTCGTACCAGTGCCCTCGCCTCTGGAAAAGGCTGCCGGAGGAGCACAAGGCTGCAGCAACAATCATGTTAGAGCAGGTTCAAAGCTCGCCTTTAGCTCGGCTCTAAGCTGATTATTATTTAAAGGTCTTCTTCATTTCTTTGCATGTTTTACTTGATTACATTTAATCAGTGTTTTACTATATTACATTATTTATCAGCTAGCAGTAGCTCAGGAGTGAGAGCGGGTTGTCCAGTAATCGGAAGGTTGTAGGTTCTCCGCCCTCCCCCTCTGGGCGCCCTGTGTCAGAGCCTCAGCTGCTACTGTTAACCTTCTGCTCCCGGGGCAGATGGCTCCTCTGATGATGACTCCTTGGATCACCAGAACTCAGCCCATTGTTTCTTTTTGCATTTGTTTATGGGAGGGATGGGAATGAGGGCTGTGTGGGGTCATTTTAATGTGTAAGGCACAGAGTCACATCAGTTGTATGAAAAGCGCTTTATAAACAAGCTTTATTCTGATTTGAGTTGCTGAGTAACCCGGAGGGGCACCAAACCTTGGTTTGAACCTTCAAAGACTCAGATCCATCAGTTAGAACTGCTTCTGAACTCAGAAGAGAACAGGAGCTAGGATGATCCTGGTGTGGTGAATCAGCTGGAGCTGACTCTGAGCTCTGTAACCTGAGTCAGGTAGACCACAGGAAGTCCCATCCATCAGTTTCACATCTGTCCCTTTTCTCTGCAGGCATCGAATCTCATGAGCAATCCTCAAGTTCAGCAGCTGTAAGTCTGTCTGCAAGCGTCTTTCTTCTGCGTGGATTTCACAAACTGAATTCTGGACACATCTCTGCCTCTTAGGATGTCAGGGATGATGTCTGGAGCGTACGGTGGGATGGGAGCAGCAGCAGCTGCAGCAGGAGGTGGAGGTGGTGATGTTGAAGGAGGTGCAACCCCCGGAGCTCAAGGAGCATCAGATATATCAGGACTGATCCAGGCGTGCGTCCCTGTTCTCATGGTTTTAGTGTCAGAGCTGCGTGTCGATGACGTTAACAGGCTGATTGTTTTGCAGAGGTCAGCAGTTTGCTCAGCAGATGCAGCAGCAGAACCCCGAACTCATCGAACAGCTGAGGAGTCAGATCCGCAACCGAACACCCAGTGCTGGGAACGAGGAGCAGCAGTGACACTCGTGTTCTGTACGTAGACCCAAGTCAGCGAAGGTGTTCAAACATTCGAGGACTGAGCATCGCTCCCTGGGGAACCTCAAACAGTTCCTATTTCAGCTTGCCACAGTGCTCCAGTGCACCTTCCTGCTGAGGTGGATTCTATAGTCAGAGTTCTGTTTCAGGCTCGGTTCTTTAAGAAATAACGAGACTCGAGAGTTTCACGTCTCTGAGAAATAATAAAGACTTCAGATGTAAAAATGCCTGATCAGTAGCTTGCTTCTCATTTTAAAAGGATCCAGAATAAAAGCCCACATTTAACAGGCCAGTTGTTATTGGATTACACCGCCTGGCCAAACCAAGTCTCCACCTGTAGCTACCTAAGCTGACCGGTAGGAGCGTGGGCCATTATCTTTCAGCTGCAGCAGGTTCTTTAACCCAACGGGCGCAACGAGCTGCTTCTCATTTACATGTGGACACACACATCTGGTGTACACTGCCTGGCCAAAGAAAAGGTCACCTGGCCATGATAAATGATGACCTGCACTTTTAAAGCGCCTCATGCTGGAGAACTCCAGAGCATTTTACACTCCAGTCACCTCTGTTGGTGATGAGCTACAATGTAGCCACAGCTGCCCTGGGGCTCACTGACAGAGGTGAGGCACCACCGGTCCCTCCGACCACCAGCAGCAGCGGCAGCACCTAATCTCCACATATGGCAGCTTCACATCTGGGCCAGCACGGACAGGGCTGGGTGGCGTCGGTCCGGGTCCCTCACCGGTAGGGTTTGTTCACACACACACTTCCCAGCAACAGGGAAATCTCCGAGCATTTGGGCATGGAAAACTCTGTGGTGTCTCACTTAAATAAAGGTGTGTGTGTGTGTGCGCGCGTGCGTGCGTGTGCGCTCCTCACAGCAGGGAGAAAGACGAGAGAGCTGCTGAAGCGTCAGTCAGAGGTCACCTTCTCGGTATCAGGATGATAATCGCACATGCGGGAAGTCCCCGCTAGCTCATTCACCCACCAATCGGAGGCTCCCCCTAACAAAGGCGTGAATTTGAGCCAGCCAATCAGTGTGTTGGACCAGTTCAGCCCAAAGCAGACCGCCTTGGTGTGAGCACGGAGAAATACCTTGACTTGATAAGCTGCCCGTGTGGTCCATGCTGGCCCAGATGTGAAACAGCATCTGTACTGGAACAGACCCTGAGTACAGCGTGCTCCGACATTCTTAATAAAGTCCGTTTATACAGAAGCCATCACAGATAATGTCACAAAGACATAAAGCTAAAACACGATCAAAGACCAAGCAGCTGACCGTCCTGTTTGTCCTGGAGTTTAACACCACCGTGTGGAATAAAGGCAGCTTGGGGCGTCTAACGCACCAAACATCTGTGCCTTCTCACCTGCTTTCTTATGCAAGTCCGGAAGGTCAGAAAAGGTCACCGTGGCACTCTTCATTCCGAGAAAAGCTGCTTTAACGCGTGCGTCGTTGGCGTAGACATGTCAGTATTGACCCTCTGCTCCTACGTCACCTAATCACACGGGTCTACCACAGTGGAGGGCAAAGCGTGTCAGCAGTGAATGACATGAGTACTGAACAGGGAACGTATAGCCTGAAATAGTTTGTTTTTTTGTGATTAGCATTCCTTCTACTAGTCATCAGAAGAAGTAGCACACCTGGTGCGGATCATAGGCGGTTTGTGCTAAAGTCAGGTGTTTTAACACGTAATCATACGTTGTAATAGTTATCTTGCGCTTCACTACAGTGGACGGTGCCGCGCGCCCTCCATGGTGAAATCATCCATCCATCCATTAGGATAATCAGTAGTATTAACATCACCTTTATCCCCGTCTTCCTCATGAAATATACGATTTTTCCCCAGAAAACGTGTTCGCTGCTAATGCAAAGATACTTAGAGGGCTGCTAGTCAGTTTATATCTCTTCATGCAGCCGACCGCGCAGCTAGCTGTTACCATTTCACTGTGACACCAGCTAAAGAAAAGCACCAAAAGGCTACAGCCTGGCTTGTTTTGACTAGCTTCGCTGGAGTTTCAGCGTGTGTAAACGGTGGTTTTGTCATCCACCATGGCAAACGGCATGGTCCCATGAGTGGCGTGACGTCATCTGCAAAGGGTCGACATACACTTTGGTGGCTGAAATGCTAACAGCCGGACAATGCTAGCCCAAGCTATTGCTAATGCTAACCTGAACTACGGACGTCTAGTACAGAGGGAAGACTGACTGCAGATTTCTGCTCAAACGACGGGGGTTAGGTGGTTGTCCACTAGGGTTGGGTGATGGGACGCGTTCGACCATCAGCAATGGTCTGAGTCGTTACCATTACAACAGGCCATTTGTTTATTAGTTTGCCTGTGAGTTAGGTTATTTACAGATCTGTCACACGTTACGCACAGCGAACATAGCGGAGCTAACAGACAAGGGGAGATCTCCATCAGCACAGCTGACAGTGGGCGCCCTGGAGAGGTGATGCACTCAACCTTGTGCACAAGAGCGCAGTGTCGAGTTATACTGAGCCAGGATCCTCTGGAGGTTTCTTCCTGTTAAAAGGGAGTTTTCCTCTCCACTGTCGCTACATGCTTGCTTAGTATGAGGATTGCTGTAAAGACTCTGACTCTAGTCAGTGACTCGATGCAACCTGCTGGGTTCCTTATGTAGGAAACTTGTTACTGACTGGCTTAATGACCTGACCTGTATTGTTTACTGTGTGAAGGTCCTTGAGACGACTCTGGTCGTGACTTGGTGCTTTATTAATAAAATGAGTAGAATTGAAGCGAGTAAAGAGTGGAAACCCTTCTGTTTTTAAGAGTCTGGTAGACATCTGCTTATTCCATTTGGAGAAATTTTTTCTCAAACTTTGGCTTAAGTAGCGCTCTTTATTCAGCGCCTGCTTTGAGTTTGTCAGCGGAGAGCAAATCCATCCAGTCTGAGGCAAAAGTCCAGAACCTCATAACCTCTTCAGAAAGCTCCCAAGTGACACGTGATTAGGCACAAGCTGCAGGTGACTAGTTCAGGTGAGGGGGTGTGTGTTCGGGCCGCAGCAGGGAAATGTTCCTAATTTAAGTTAACTGCATTGTTTAAATGTGGCGCTCGGGTCAGCTTGCTCTAACTATCCATCCATCCGTTTTCTGCCGCATATTCGGGTCAAGGTGCCTAAGCAGGGCGGCCAAGACTTTCCTTTCCCCAGCCATGTGGGCCAGCTCCTCCTGGGGATTCCCAAGGCGTTCCCTGGCCAGAGAGACACTAGCCACGTTTACATGCGCACAACTAATCGGATTGAACGCCCAATCGGAACAAACACGTTAATCGGAATGTTCTGATCCGATTCGGCCCCACCGGAATGAAATTTCAGTCCGATTGACAGAAGTGGTTTTGTCCGATCATCATTCCGATGGACGTGCACGCACACAGCCGGTGGGACTGTTGGCACTTTCTGAGCTTTTGCTGTTATTTAGTCTGAACTGTTGTCAACCGTTTCAGCTGATTGTCACATTTTATTAATAATAAACCACAACAGAGCTCAGTAATAACACGAGTCTGACCCCACCCCCACCCCCGGCCTGTTGAGCTCAGTAATAACACGAGTCTGACCCCACCCCCCCTGGCCTGTTGAGCTCAGTAATAACACGAGTCTGACCCCACCCCCCCGGCCTGTTGAGCTCAGTAATAACACGAGTCTGACCCCACCCCCCCGGCCTGTTGAGCTCAGTAATAACACGAGTCTGACCCCCCCCCCCCCCCGGCCTGTTGAGCTCAGTAATAACACGAGTCTGACCCCACCCCCCCTGGCCTGTTGAGCTCAGTAATAACACGAGTCTGACCCCACCCCCCCTGGCCTGTTGAGCTCAGTAATAACACGAGTCTGACCCCACCCCCCCGGCCTGTTGAGCTCAGTAATAACACGAGTCTGACCCCACCCCCCCGGCCTGTTGAGCTCAGTAATAACACGAGTCTGACCCCCCCCCCGGCCTGTTGAGCTCAGTAATAACACGAGTCTGACCCCCCCCCCCCCCCCCCCCCCCCCCCCCGGCCTGTTGAGCTCAGTAATAACACGAGTCTGACCCCACCCCCCCGGCCTGTTGAGCTCAGTAATAACACGAGTCTGACCCCACCCCCCCGGCCTGTTGAGCTCAGTAATAACACGAGTCTGACACCCCCCCGGCCTGTTGAGCTCAGTAATAACACGAGTCTGACCCCACGCCCCTGGCCTGTTGAGCTCAGTAATAACACGAGTCTGACCCCACGCCCCTGGCCTGTTGAGCTCAGTAATAACACGAGTCTGACACCCCCCCGGCCTGTTGAGCTCAGTAATAACACGAGTCTGACACCCCCCCGGCCTGTTGAGCTCAGTAATAACACGAGTCTGACCCCACCCCCCTGGCCTGTTGAGCTCAGTAATAACACGAGTCTGACACCCCCCCGGCCTGTTGAGCTCAGTAATAACACGAGTCTGACCCCACCCCCCTGGCCTGTTAAGAGCTATTCCATCCTGGTCCTGGAGGGCCGGTACCCGGCACGTTTTAGTTTTAACCTGCTGCAACACACCTGATTTCAGTCAGCAGGTGATTAACAGGCTTCTGCAGAGCCTGATGAGCTGCTGCAGGTGATAAAGGGTGTTGGAGCAGAGACACCTCTAAAACATGCTGCATGCCGGCCCTGCCATAAACAATCAGATTTCTTTCATCAGCTTGTGTTGATCTGACGCTTCTGTCTGTTTCAGGTTGGGGGACAGGAGGAAGACGAGGCGGCTTCTGGGCGTTCCCTTTCCGATGCAGATTGTGTCACAAAAACTTTAAGGAAGTTTCTTGTTTTTCTATGAATGAACATTTCCGCCGTGGGAGCGTGAGGCCTCCCGCTCCATCAGGCCGCATGTCCTGTGGCTTTGTGTGGTTTTCAGAGCCGTGCTTCAGTTTCACACGTTCACAAACCAAGATTAAACACCTGGAAGTTTAACATGTCTACGCCCTCTCATGTGCGTTGTCTTCTTTAAACACCTTTGCTCTGGTGAGGGAGTGAACTTTGCTGTTGGTCACGCGGAGCTGTGAGGCGGCAGCAGCGAGGCTGTTTAACGTACTCCTTTCTGTCCTTTTCTGTTACATCTGAGCTTTTGTCTCACGGCTGCTGCAGACCAACGCCGTTATAAAGCAATAAACCAGGAAGCAGACTCGAGAAGGCGGAGCCGCAGACTGCTGTTCAGGGTCCCGTTAATGAGGAGGTTAGGTCATGAGCTGAAGACCAGGATGGTGTTTCCTCCAGGTTGGTGGAGGACATCTTGTATGTTGGAGTAAATGTGTGCGTGCTTGGGTGGGTGACTGTGTTGTAAAGTGCTTTGGGGGGTTGTAGAACCGTAGAAGGCACTATATCAAATACAGGCCTTAGCGTTTGGTAGGAGGCTGTTGATCCAAACTAAGAGGGAACTGTGCTGAAAACCATAGTTCTGGATTGATCATCTATTGGATTAGGATTAAATGAAACAGATCCCGGATCCGAGCATCTGAAATGAAGCCGGGTTCGATCTTTTAGAGGTCAGGAGAGACGTGGGGTGTGCAGTCCCTTTACAGATTAAGTTTTCAGATTAGCCAGGAAACCAGAGCAGGTGGGGAATCTGGCATAACCACGTTTGTGAATAAAATATTTCAGAATGAAGATTCCTGTTTTTCAGGCTTACTCCAAATAAAATGTTTAGTAAAGCACAAGGTTATCCTTTTATAGAGATTTAGTAGATAATTCAGGTTTTCCACAAGTCTTGCAGCATTAAAATGCATCATCTGTGGTTTCCAGGTCAGATTTACAGGAAGAACGGGTTTGTTGAACTCATCCGAAGGATAAATACCAGGAAGGACTGTTTTCTTCCATTTCAGGAGGGATGGGGAAACGCAGGCGTAATCAAATTTCACTGTTTGAATCTATTTAGAGAAGAACTCCTCCTGGGAACTAAATGTTCAGTAACTAAACGTATCATTACATTTAAGGACTTGCCATCCCAGAGCAGCTTTTGGAGATCAGCAGGTGTCGTGCATTTAATGTTATTTTAACGTAATTAAAGGGATGATATGTTTTAGAGCAGTGGAGCTCGTATTTGATACGGACGTCTTCCAGTTTAAAGATGCCACCATTATCATCCAGTAGATGAGCAACTGACCGTGGATGCTAAGGTTCTGTTGTTCCATGATGGTTTACTGGTATAAAGGCATCTTCCAGTTTAGTCGGACCTGTGGATGAAAGGCTGAGAGCTGGACGGGGAGTCTGGAGAGCTCAAAGTCACAGACCAGCAGAAGTCCCACTCATTTAACAGTTCAGTTACACCAAAAACCACATTCCTTCTTTATTCTTTAGAAACGGTTTTAGCCATTTGATTTCTAATAAACGTTCATAATTTCACAGTCAGTAGCCTTAATGCCACCATTTTCAATAGATTTTGATGCGTCGTGTTGAAATAATGTTTCTTCCTCAATCTAAAATAAAAATGTATTTTATTTCCTTTTATCGGGATTTTGGAGTCACAGCTGATTACACCGGATAAATCAGCCTAGAGAGGGATCCAACGTGGGTTACCATACGTCTTCCAAAGGTCGTCCGACCTCTCTGCTGCCATCCGTTAAGGGGATCGTTGCTTTTATTGGTTGTAATTTCTACATTTTTCATTCTACTTGAATCTAGATCTTTAGTGAGCCAGGTGCCCGAAACTTTAATTTCATGTTTTACTGGAATGCCATACAGAGAAGAGAAATCAGCGTCATGATTACTCATCACTTCACATTTGCTTGAATTTAGTTGTAAACCAGAAGCATCACAACGTTCAGAGCCAAGAGATCTTTATTTTACAAAAACTGGGCGGTGTCATCCGCCAGCTGGCTGATAATCCAAACGCGAGTGTTTATACCTCTAACGTCTGACTGAGTAATGGTGATATTTAGCCGTTCTGTTGCTAAAATGAACAGTAGGGGCGAGACACCGTGACCTAGTCTAACCCCTCGTCCAGGACGGGTAGCCTTATGGAGAGACTCTGAGCTGTTTGTATTTGCGTACAACATTAATCATTGAAACTAAGTTGTGACCAAATCCTCATTTTTTAAGTGTGCTAATAATAAATTTGTGCTTGATCAAGTCAAAGCGTTACGGAAACCTAAGAACATCATAAAGCTATAGTCCACAAGGTCCATGGCCAAACATGTTGTTATGAACTGATGACATCCAAATCAGAGTTCAGTCTTGATGCTCAAATGTTGGTGAAAATCTTTTAATCAGTATTTAATTGTAAAATAGGTCTTAAACTTTCTAAATATTTTTATCTTTTACCAAATTTGGTATCAATTTTATTCAGTTCAATTCAAGTTTATTTATAAAGCACCAAGTCACGACCAGTCGTCTCAAGGACCTGTACACAGTAATCAACACAGGTCAGGTCATTAAGTCAGTCAGTAATAAGTTTCCTATATCAGGAACCCAGCAGGTCGCATCGAGTCACTGACTAGTGTCAGAGTCTTTACAGCAATCCTCATACTAAGCAAGCATTATGATTACTTGTTTCATCGTTTCCATCATTGGTTTTGTGTTATACAAGTTAACAACGCATTAAAAAGTAAATCATAAGCTGTATAGTTGTAGCACCTTTCACAGGCAAAGTGCTTCACAACATAAACATTTCTACTCTGGTGTGAGAGGGAGCCCGTCCATGCAGGGCTCAGAAAACCAGAACCAAGAGCTTAAACTTGAACCTAAAAGACGCAGGCAGCCAGGGAAGTTCCTTTAGGCGGGGAAATGTGAGACCTAGCAGGCAGGATTGTCGCTGCAGAGCTCTGCACAACTGCAGACAACAATGTCGTGTTTTCTTCACTGTGAGGTGCCTCCGCTTGAAAAGACCAGACTTTGGATTTCACTCAGAAGGATTTATTTTGAGCAGTACTAAGATCAGTTTGGGTTCAGGAGTCAGTCTAGTGAAACACATTTAAATAGCAAAAAAATAAGTAAACACATTGTAAATAAATCATGCAGATAAACTTCAAATGCATTTAGGCAGTACAGACCACGGTAAGTACACCACCAAGAACATCTGAATATAATAGATTTTATTAAGTATCTGCTGATAATTCAGAGATGGATAATTGCACAATAAAACAAGATGACACAAAGACGGGTTTTACTGCACAAAATAATTAAATCAGTTTTTGGTCTGCGCAGTGGTGCAGTGGTTAGAGCTGTTGCTTTGCAGCAAGAAGATCCTGGGTTCGCTTCCCAGCCCGGGATCTTTCTGCATGGAGTTTGCATGTTCTCCCTGTGCATGCGTGGGTTCTCTCCGGGTTCTCCGGCTTCCTCCCACAGTCCAAAAACATGACTGTTAGGTTAACTGGTCTGTCTAAATTGTCCTTAGGTGTGTGTGTGTGTGTGCATGATTGTTTGTCCTGTGTGTCTCTGTGTTGCCCTGCGATGGACTGGCTCTCTGTCCAGGGTGTACCCCACCTGATTGCCCATTGACCGCCGGAGATAGGCACCATCCCCTCCCGACGACCCTACGTCGACATGCGGGTTCAGACGATGGATGGATGGAAATCAGTTTTCAACCGTGCATATTTTGAATTCTTCATTAGAATATTTTAATAATGGTTGTAAATGGCAGTAAATGTACTGCACCAGAGCGCTCGCTGTCACTTGTGGCCGACATGTAGAGCACACAGAGGACCTATCTGCGGAAACGCATTGGCGATGTGCAGCGGAGCATGCAGGAAATGGACGAGAGAAATAGACAGGGGGCAGCTTCACCTCTGTGGTCAGTGCAACACCTCCGACTGGATCTTTGCGCAGTAATGCCTGGAAAGATCACACTTAGGTGGGCTGGTCCCCGATTTGATCTTCGACAGGTAGGAGGACCGCAAGACGCCGGGCACCCCGATGCAGAATGGTGTTTAGCTCAGGATCTCTGGTAGCAGATTTTGGCCTGTTTGCTGAAATGGACTTCAGAGAGACCCTCGCACGCACATCTCAAACGACACCTCTGGAATCGGGATTCACACCAATGCCTTTTGCAAGTTTGATCTGCCCTCTTAGTGAGTTTTGGTCAGAGCCAACAGCAACGTTTCTTTCTGCAGTATTCCACTTACTGCGAGAGAACAAGTTTGGACTAGCGAGTTGGCTCCAGGACCTCCAGAAGTTGTTTACTGTAGTTTGCAATTCATTGAGTCTTTTGAAGGTGTCGTTTGTGTAGTAGACAGTTTTAACGTCCCCACTTTGTGTTGCTCGACCAAGTAACAGGTTGTCCGGAAAAATGTACGGAATACATTGTTCTTGGCTTTAAACCCTGGCATCAATGGGTCTCTCATTGGCAGCGTTGGCAGCTAACTGGAGGGCTGTAAGGAATTCACTGAAGGTAAGCCCTTCTACATTACCAAGACTTTGTAGGGTAACTCTTGGTAATTCTGACAGCAGCTTCAGCGGCCCCATGTCAGTGTGGCAAATTGGCGGGAAGGATTTTCCACATCCGGGTCACCTCATTTTTGGCAGCATATTCTTCAAGTGACTGTTTTGTTGTCTCAGGTACATTTACATCTCTTTCAATACAGATTTTGCACCAACAAAGTTTGTGCCAGGATCCAACCTGACTTTTCAAATGGCAGTGGGCGTCTTATACGTAAGCAGAAAGCTCTCTGTTGAAAGAGTGTTTGCTAGCATGACATGAATGGCTCGGCTTGCCATACAGCAAAACACGACTCCCCACACTTTCATGGTTACTCTCCTCTTGATGTCATCTTTCACGTGGTAAGGTCCAGGCCTAGACCTCTCCAGGTAAGTCTCCTGTTATCTACCTGCATGTTCTTGCCTTTGCTGTCTTGCAGATGATACATTTTTCAACAACTTTTTGGGCAGTAATTCTTCCTCTGATGACCAACACCTTCTTTCTCATCCGCAGTAAGATTCCTGCCACTCCATCGTGTCCCTCGCTGTGTGCTTCTCTGGCAATGAGGGTTGATAACCAGGCTTGGAAAGGTAGAAGGGGTCTTCCCTGAAGGTTTGGACTCTGCCAGCACAAACTTGAAGTCCACTTGTCTGGACTCTCTAGCCTGTCCGTTGTGGTGCTCGGGAAGTTGACGCCCTCCTGTGCTGATAGGCAAAGGTCTCGAAATGCATCTTGCCTCTCATTAACTGTAAGGACACCCGAGGATGGCATTACCTCCCACTTTTCTTGATCTCTAGTCTTGGCACTCAGGAATTTTTTAGCCACCCTCCAGAGCCACGCCATGGTCGCAACCATCCCTCCCAAGTTGCTGAAGAGCCTTTTGTCCACTACTTGTCGAGCTGTTGCTCCTGCCGGTGGTCTTCTAGACTTTTCAAGCGCTGGATCTTGAGCTGCCTTGATGTGGTTTCTGGTAAGCACTGCAACAAAAGCTTTTTCCGGACCTTTGTGACTTTATCTCGAGCCTGGGCAATGATGTCCCTGGCAGATGTCTTTGGCCACTCGTCATCAAAAATTTGAAGGAACTTTGGACCCAACTGCCACTCGGAGTGCCCGGTGAGGACGTTTGGACTGGCCCCTCTGGTGATGATGTCTGCGATGTTTACTGGCCCTGGATTCCACCGCCAATCTTGGACATTGGTGCTACTTTGGATCCCGCCAACAAGATTTGCAAAGAAGGTCTGGAAGCCATAACTCTCACACTGTATCGCGCTCAGAATGGTCTGGTTGTCGACAAGATGGTACAATTTTTTGACCTGGATTTGGCAGTGTTTCTGGAAGTTGGCCTTCAGCCGGGCTGCGAAGACAGCGCCGCACATATCTACTTTCACAGGATCGCCTTTGTGGTCAAGGGGTGTAGGGGTGTTAGTTTACCTTTGGACTCAACTAGTCTCGCAACAACACCATGACTGCAGCTCCAGCGAAGGTACATCACCGCAACATGTGCATGCTTACAGACGTCAGAAATGTGATGGCACTGGGCTCTGCACAGGGTTCTGACTGAGTCAGGGCTCTGGTGAAACGAAGCTGACTCAGGTCGGTACACTCCTCCAGAAGCTTTGCCAGTTTGGTTTAGTGCTGTGGCCATCTCCGGTTGAGTACGTCAGACCATCTCTCACGATCTCCATCTCCCTTTCCTCTGCGAGTGTAATTTCTTTACCCCCTTGCTGGCAGTTTCCACAGTGACATCCTCCACATCTTGGTTGGCAAGCAGCTCCAATACTTTCCCACCTCCACTACTTCAGAAAGTCTTTGACGCAGGTGGCTGTGCTAAACTGATTCTTGTGGTTATCAGGATGCTAGCAGGAAGCTGAGTTTTTAGTGAACTCTCGATACTTCACTGCAGCAGGTCTCATTGATCTTGCAAAGTGAGTCTTGGAGGTGTGGGCCATCAGGATGACTTCCTCAAAGAGTTGTGGATGTGTACCCTCGACTGTCCTACCAAGTAGACCGTCCCAGAGTACCAGGTCACCGATGGAGCGGACCTTTTGGGGCACCAACTTTGGGAAAGCCTCCTCTTGGCTGCATCCGACCAGGGTCGCACCTTGACACTCACAACCTGCACAGTGGACGTGGGTCCTTATGCTCAAGCTAAAACGACCTTGTCGTCTGTGCTTTCATTGACCTTTCAGTTAGTTGCATGTTGGTGCGTCATCTAGTGTTTGTGATTGACCTTGAGTCTTTTCCTTTTCTGTTTGGTTAAGACCTGATAATTCGCTTTGAGCTCATCATTGACCTCTATGGGTTGAATCTCTGGACTCGGTTGACTCAACCGCTGTCCATGAAGGTCCCCCAAGACCTCATTTCTTCTTGTGGTGTTGTGAACATCAACAACAGCGATGACCAAGTGGCTTGTCGTTATGGTATTTCTATGGTCAGTAAAAGGTCTAGCGTATGTGTTGTCTCTGTGCTCCCTGCGACAGCTCGTCCTGTAGCGTGTTCTTCACCTAATATGGGGTGGTTGAAGGTCTCCCTGACCCTGCACCATTACAACATTACAGGCTGACCCAGTTATTTCTGGCTGCATTCACCTGCTAACCGAGAGCCCTCTAAATTCCATCCCAGTGCGGAGCCCTCCACAGTCCGCTCCTGCGTCAGTCTCTGGTCTCCATTGACCGATATTCTAGGTCTCTGGTCCACCTGAACTCCCCTAAAGGATTATCAGGAACACCACACCAACACGGTGTTTGATCCCCTTCCACCTTCAGAACTGCCTTAATTCTACGTGGCGTTGATCCAACAAGCTGCTGAAAGCATCTTTAGAAATGTTGGCCTATATTGGTAGGACAGCATCTTACAGTTGATGGAGATGTGTGGAATGCACATCCAGGGCACGAAGCTCCTGTTCCACCACATCCCAACGGTGCTCTATCGGGTTGAGATCTGGTGACTGTGGGGGCCATTGTAGTACAGTGAGCTCATTGTCATGTTCAAGAAACCAGTTAGAAATGATTGGAGCTTTATGACATGGTGCATTATCCTGCTGGAAGTAGCCACAGAGGTTGGGTACATGGTGTCATGAAGGGATGGACATGGTCAGAAACGATGCTCAAGTAGCCCGTGGCATTTAAACCATGCCCAGTTGGCACTAAGGGGCCTAAAGTGTGCCAAGAAAACATCCCCCACACCATGACACCACCACCACCAGCCTGCACAGTGGTAACAAGACATGATGGATCCATGTTCTCATTCTGTTTACGCCAAATTCTGACTCTGCCATTTGAGTTCATTAAGCCAATCAGTAAAAAGTTTCCTATATAAGGAACCCACTTGGTTGCATCGAGTCACTGACTAGTGTCAGAGTCTTTACAGCAATCCTCATACTAAGCAAGCATGCAGCAACAGTGGAGAGGAAAACTCCCTTTTAACAGGAAGAACCCTCCAGAGGATCTTGGCTCAGTATTAGTATAACTGGACATTGCACTCTAGTGCACGAGTACTTCTCACTAAAGCAGAAGGCTTATCTCAGTTCATTTATGCCTCCCAGTCCTTGTATGCAGACAAATCTATAATTACATCTGCAGATGGAATGCTATCTGATTTCATATGGAAGAACAGAACTCATTATTTACGTCAATCCATTGTCTTAAATGAAGAAAAGGAAGGTGGTCTAAACGCTATAGACTTTGACTCTCTCAATAATACATTTAAAATAAAATGGATTAGAGCCTATCTTAAAAATCCAAACTCTATATGGAATTTTATTTCAACCTATGTTTTCTCATATCTAGGCGGCCTAGAATTCACCCTCCTATGCAACTACAATATCTCTAAAATACCTATCAAGCTATCTAATTTCCACCAAGTTTTATTAGCATGGTCCCTTGCATATAAACATAACTTTTCTCCACGCAGATGCTTTATTTGGAATAGCTGTAATATTTTGTACAAAAACAAATCCTTATTTTTCCATAACTAGTTTAATAATGCTATTCTGAATGTTTCTCAATTACTTAACAATGAAGGCTGTTTTTATAGAAAAAAAGTAAAACATTTCAGTAACCTTAAAAGAACAGCACTGCAGAAAACCCTCCAGACCCTAAGCAAACACCCGTAGGCCAACTCTGCTTCATTACAGGGAAAATCATTAAACTCCAAATTCGCTCCTTACTACAAACATCTCTCGTTTCAACTCAGTCCTGTGTTAGCTACTGGAACACTTCCTGGCAAGATCGTAACTGGACAAGAATATGGACTTTTCATTATCAATAAAACGAAGGAAGTTTCTTTTTAAATAATTCATAGATTCTACCCAACTAAGCATTTCCTTCAAAAAAGATTTAATCCTAACATTAATATGCATTGCTCCTTCTGTAACCTTTACCCAGAGACTACAGTACACTTGTTTTGGGAATGTTCTGTTACAAAAAGCTTTTGGAGCGATATCACTACTATTTCAAGAACTATTAAGTTTTAATTGGGACAACAGACTATGATGCACAACACTCCTCCGCTTTTTATTTTATTAATCTGATTCTGTTTCTCTCAAAGTTTTTTATACACACATGTAAAGTAATGCATAAGAATGCTTTGTATAACCATTTAGTTGCAAGTTTAAAGACATATTTAGATTCAATCTCTTCTTCAAATAACAAAACCACACAAGTATTTGAAGCATTACAAGTGCTTGGGTAATATGTAATCTTGCATTTTATATTTTGTTTTCTATTCTATTCTTTTCCCTTTCTTTTATTTATTTATTTGTTTATTTATTTGCTCTGTTGTTTGATGAATATGTTTTGTTAGTCAATAACAATGTAAATTAATCTAAAATATTCAGGAATGTTTTGTAACACCTTAAAAGCAGAAATAAATAATCTCTTGTCCTCAGTGATCCACCAATCAGCGCTCACGCACGGTGTTACGTAAGACGTAAGCATTTCCTTCACCTGCTAAAGAAGAGGACGGATCGGATGCTCGGCCGTTAGGGTCCTGTTAGGATGAAACTGCCTTTTGTAGCTAGAAGGTCGCCGTGTAACCTCACTAACCTGGAGAAGAGCCGCGCTTGTGACCAGGAAGTGGATTGTTTAAGCGGATTTACCACCTTAGCTGCGGAGGAGCTAACGGCTAACTGTAAGCAAACACAACCGGAAGTAGACGGACTGCTCAAGTGTTCAGTCTTCTGTTTGTGCCACCTTCATACAAAACTGTCTCGCATTATTTTAATAAAGTCTACCAAGTAAAAGTCAAATATAGTCTTATGTAGGAGTCGCTAAGGTGAAACAGGTAAACAGGCGGTTCCTATTACACATTAGAAAAGTGTTGGCACGAAGTGTAAAAAGGTTCAACGTGAGCGCGTGCTCCATCAGACTCATAATACAAACTTACGGGGTCAGTATAAAGAAAACTACTAAATCCCAATAACAACACAACAGTACAGGGCTTTGAATAAAGTCACACCACCAGCAAGTTATCACAACAGAAAAGGGCAGAACCTTAGTGTGTCTCTTACAGAGGTGTGACCAAGTCACAAGTACGTCACCACTTTTGTGCTAAAATATCAAATATGCTCAAGTCTTCGTCAAGTCAACAGATGCAAGTCGATTCAAGTCGCAAGTCATTGGCTTTCAAGTCCGAGTCAAGTAGTAAGTTTTAGAGATTTCAATCGAGTCAAGTCAGACATCATTAAAATAATGACTCGAGTCTGACTCAAGTCCAAGTCGTGTCTCGAGTCCACACCTCTGGTCAGATATATTAATTATTATATGAAAAGAAGGAAACGAATGAGAAGGGAACGAGAACGTATGAAGCCTAGTAGCAAGGGCATTTTCTAACTATTTCAAAAAATTTTGTAATAAGGAGAAATAATTTTTAAGAGCAAACCATGAAGGGGGAGATTTGGCATATCCACATTTATGTATAGTATTTTGTATATATAACAGGGCTTGTGATCACGCATAGCATTATGGGATGTGTGTGGACATGTTGGAAGGTCGACGAGAATAAACAAACCTTTAAGCAAACGGTACTGTCACAGAGAAGAAGCGGATTTGGGTGAGAGAAAGTGTTAAACAGTCCCCAAAAGGATGTGGAATACACAAGGATACGTTAAATAAAGACGTCAGGGACCGGTGTGTGGACAAAGTCAGCGTTATAAATGGTTTTGATTCATATGAAAGACCCAAGACCGGAGCACTGATGACGTATCATAGCCGTGGCTACATCATAGCTCATCCCCACCAGGATGTGAATGGGTGAATGACTGATTGTGTTGTAAAGCGCCTTGGGGGGTTCCAGGACTCTAGAAGACGCTACATCAAATACAGGCCAGTTACTGTTTAAAAGTCTGAATAATTAATGAGCATCAAAGCCACGTCACTTCAGAGCTAGCTCCGAAGAAAGGCCTCAGCCTCATGTTAATAGATGGTCGGCCATTTTGACTCCCTGGACTTGAGTTGTGTCCTCTGTGTGTTCGTGTTTGGATGTTAATCGTAGAGTTATTTGGACATAAGGGCAAGCTGAGATTATTGGCTGCACTAACGGATCATCCAAGCAGTTGTTGCACCTGGGCGCGAGATCGCTAGGCGGATTGGTGCTGCGTCTGCAGTGATGCGGGCGTTGTACCGATCTGTTGTGGTGAAGAGTCAGAAGGCGAAGCTCTCGATTTACCAGTCGATCTACGTTCCTACCCTCACCTATGGTCACTGTTGGGTAATTTGTATTTTCCATAACCCTTTACCTGAAACAAACACCAAATACAAAGAGGAGTTCATTTTACACCGTCTCACCAAACAGCGGAGAGGAGGCGATGCACAACTCCCTCCGGAGCTGTTTCCATCGTCTCCCCCACCCCTCAGCTCAACAGAGGTTTTTATTGAACAATGGGATGGAGGGCGGGCCTTTCTCGAGTTTCAGAGTTACAGACTCATCTCGTAGGAAACCATATTCCAGAGATAACAGCACAGCAGTCTTACAGAGGAATCATTTACAGAGGAATTACGCACAGTCAAAATACACACACAATTCTTCAGCTGACCGGTAACTTAATCAACACATATTGTTGGACCTTCATCTTGTCTCAGGAGGTTGGGTGATCACAGAGGCCATTCTTCACCACTCTAAAATGTGATCAAAGAAGATCAACGACCTTTTGTGTAAACAAATACCTGTCATGTCCTGCAACGTTCTTCTCAAAAAGGTACTTAAAGTACAGAAAAAACCTATCAGTCACGAGTGAAGGAAGACAGGGAACCCCAGCGCTTTATAAGCCTGGCGGCCCGCCAGGCTTTGCTTGCCCACCCGCCAGGCTAAACGTCATGCCCCGCCCCCTCCCCGACCCTAACGTGTCCGCTGACACGAACGGCGCAGCGAAACTAGAGCCCTCCATCAGCTGATACTGGTGAGAAACAGCAGCGGTGTGCACCCCCCCCCCCCCATGTGTTTTACATGGAGATGTTATGAAACAGTCAGTAAAAAAGACTGGATGAACTTTAGATGGTGCTGTTGGGTTTTCTATGTTATTACATCACTGTAGGAGCTGTCATCTGCTTCATTAATGCTCTGAAACCTGTTTAGTATATTTAATACTTGGTCAGTTTGTTGGTATTTTTATTTATCTTGTTATAATGTGTGATTTTAACACTGAGCAGTGACTACATCAAGATTCAACAGTTGGTTAAATTCAGATTAGGTTCAGAAATCTGGTGCATCCACAGCAGTTATTAGTGATACTTAAGCATGCTGATAAGGTGCCAAACATCCAGATATCGGCCCAAAAGTCGGCAGCACTTATCAGCCATCTGCTGACCCCGACCGCTTCATATCGGTATCGGCAATAGAAAACCAATATCGGTCTAGCTCTAGTCAGAATAACAGCTGCTCCTGACTCCGCTCACTTCCTTCTATCTTTTTCACTTTTAATTGTGACGATGTCCTGATGAGTAATAAAGGAAGAGGAAGAACAGAGTTGGTGGTGTCTAGGTGAGGTTCTGGGCCGACTGCTTTCCTCTAACTGTTGGTCCATCGATGTCTTCACCAGCAGAACCGTAGGGTCCGATGGACCCAGCCTGAGATGACTCTGGCCTGGTCGTAGCATCATCACAGCTTCAGGATGCAGATCCTAGTGGCCAAACTTCTGGGCCTGCTGGGATTATTCACCCTCATGCTGGCTGGAGTTCTGGTCCCAGTGCGCCTCCTGCTGGTGGACTGTGAGAAGGCTAACCGGTACAGACGGGCTCTGGCTCTGTGCAACTCGTTCGGTGGAGGTGTGTTCCTCGCTACGTGTTTCAACACTCTGCTGCCAGCTGTCAGGGAGAAGGTGAACACACACACACACACACACACACACACACACACACACACGTCCGTCTGGTTTCTCTGCACCGTGAGAACGCCCCGTTTCACCTGTTGCGTTTGTCTCCTTTCCTGGTTTGCCTTCACAGGTGCTCATCGTGTTGAAGCAGCTGAACATCGATGGGGATTATCCTCTGGCAGAAACGATGATGATGGTGGGTTTCTTCATCACTGTCTTTGTGGAGCAGGCCGTCCTGTCCTTCAGGAGGGACAAACCGTCTTTCATTGACCTGGAGACCTTCAACGCCGGAGGCTCTGATGCCGGCAGCGACTCCGAGTACGACTCGCCCTTCATCTCCTCACCACGTGGCTCTGCAGAGAGAGGCGGAGCCCAGGGGCACCATCATGGACACTTCGCCCCCACTGAGGTGGCGGGGGCGGGGCCCCTGCGGCTGGCCAGCCTAGTTCTAGCTTTGTCTGCCCACTCAGTGTTCGAGGGTTTGGCGCTCGGCCTGCAGGAGGATGGTGCCAAGCTGGGTAGACTTTTTCTGGGTGTGGCGGTGCACGAGACTCTGGCCGCCGTGGCCCTTGGGGTGAGCACGGCCAAGGCGTCGATCGGCATGACGGACGCCACCAAACTGGGCGTGACGGTTAGCCTAATGATCCCGCTGGGTGCAGTGGTGGGGATGGGCATCGAGTCGGCCCAGACGCTGGCGGCTGGCGTTGTGTCGGCGCTGCTGCAGGGACTCGCTGCCGGAACCTTCCTGTTTGTCACGTTCTTTGAGATTCTCTCTCGAGAACTGGAGGACAAACGAGACCGGCTCCTCAAAGTACTCTTCCTCATCCTGGGCTATGCAGCGCTGGCTGTGCTCATCTTCATCAAGTGGTGACAGACAGGAAGTGGATCGGAACCAGAACCAGAAATACCTCAGAGCCCGAGGTTCTGAGTCACTCCGGACTGGGCCCAAGCTCGTGGAAATATCTTGGATGTTGTGGTTTTTCCCAAGCCCCCATAACTCTGCAGCAAGTATGAAGCCAACAAGGAAGTGGCCGAAGCTGCAGTTCCACCCCCACCCACTAGGGGCTGCAGCAGAAGAGGGCAAATCCTCGTAGACTCCCGTGTTAAAAAGCCTTTTCACGTGTTTACAGCCTGGTTCAACAGCCGTTTTAGACTGAATAGATCTAGTTTACATTAACGACAACTCCTAATGACTGAGACCCACGGTCAGGTGACCTACTTATGAGTTTGTTTCAAAGCAGGCGGGAGGTGCCTTTACTTTGGAGTCGCTCTACCGCGTTTTCCTTCCTGAAATCATCTGGGAAACTCCGTTAGCTTTGGGTTAGCATGTAGCTAGTGCCCCGCATATTTCCGACCGTGGGGCAAGAGCTGATGTAAAAGGGCACGGCGCCCGGCTACGATCGCAGTGGTCTGAGGCTCCGCTTGTAATTTAACAGTCCCAGTCCATGTTGGACCTCCACAGGTGACCAGCATGACTACACCCTCGCACGGGAGCCATACCTCGGTGCAAGGAGCCCTTCTTGGGTTGGCTAAGTTAGCTAGTAGCTACACTGGTTCATTTGTTCCAGCCCTGTTCCAACCGTAACAGCCCCACCCTAGCTCCACCTCTTTTCCCATTTTTGGATTGCCAGGGCGTGACGGGACCTGTGACACGGTCAAAATGGCGGTGGTGGGAACAAAAACGAATACGCTTATGGACGTGAATTGTCCGGTATATATGTTAATGTTTTTTCCTGATGATTTTTCAGAGTCTGACTTTTCTGCTTTTAGGTTTTGTTTCAGACGTTCGTGCAGCTGAGTGACCTCTGCTTGTCAGGGTCAGAGGTCAGAGGGGTCTAGAGCAGGAACTCCTGGTTCTGAGTCCAGACCAAGTTGTCTGTTTTACACTCCTTTCTTTTACCCCCCACCCCCCCCCACCCCCCACCCAAAAATATAAATTGTGAATTTTCTAAATGTAAGGAAAGACAGAGAAAACGAACAGGAAAGAGGGAAACCAGTGGATCCTGAGGAAGGTGGAATAGGTGGGGAGAGCAGAATAAAGAGAGAGAGGTGAAGAAGGTCATACAAAAGCCAGCTTGAACAAGTGAGTCTTCAGCTGCTTTTTAAAGGAGACCACTGAGTCCACTGATCTCAGGCTCAGCGGAGAGAGGTCCAGAGTCTGGGGGCCACAGCAGCAGATGATCTGTCACCTTTGACCTTTAGCCTGGTGCTGCACAACCAGTAGGCTTTGATCACTGGGCCTCAGGGACCTGCTGGAGGTGTAGGGACTAAGAAGATCACCAATGTAAGATGGTGCTTGTCCATGTAAGGCCCTATAGACCAGAACCAGGATCTTGAAATGAACCCTGAAGTTGACTGGCAGCCAGTGAAGCTGGAGGAGAAGCGGGGTGATGTGGGTGTGTTTGGAGGACTTGGTCAGAAGCCGAGCACAGGCGTTCTGAACCACCTGTAGACGGTTCAGGGAGGTTCTGCTCAGACACGTGAAAAGAGAGTTACAGTAGTCTAAGCGTGAGGAGATGAAGGTGTGGAGAACTGTCTCAAGTTCAGAGCGGGACAGAATGGGACTCAGCTTAGCAACGTTCCTGAGATGGAAGAAGGAAGAGCCAACAAGAGAACTGACATGAGAATCCAGGGTGAGAGCTGGGTCAGAGGTCACACCAAGATTCCTGACAGAAGGTTTGGTGTGGGAAGCAAGCTGACCAAGAGAGTCTCTGACTTTGGGAACCAGCTTGTCTGGGGCACAGATGAGGATCTCAGTCTTATCTTCATTCAGCTGAAGAAAGCTCCCACCATCCAGGTTTTGATAGAGTCTAAGCAGGTGTGTAACAGCTGCAGCTTAGACATCTCATGGGGCTTAAAGGAGATGTACAGTTGGATGTCATCTGCATAAAGATGGTAGGAGATTCCTTTGAAGGATCTCAGGATGTGCTGAAGAGGAAGCAGATAGAGGAGGAAGAGCAGAGGCCCCAGCACAGAACCTTGTGGGACACCATGGGTAAGAGAGGTGGTGGAGGACCTAAACTTGGAGACGGCCACAGAAAAGGAGCGCTCAGAGAGATAAGAGGAGAACCACTCCAGAGCAGATCCTGATAGGCCTACCCAGTCTCTCAGCCTCTCCAGTAGCAGGTGACGGTCAACAGTGTCAAAGGCTGCAGTCAGGTCCAGCAGGACCAGAACAGAACAGTCCCCTACATCACTGTGGGTCAGAAGGTCATTAGAGACCCTAAGAAGAGCTGTTTCAGTAGAATGAGCTCTACGAAAACCTGACTGGAAGCTATCATAGATGTTATGTTCATCAAGAGCAGCTGTGAGTTGTTTAGCCACAACCTTTTCCAAGATCTTGGAGATGAACGGAAGTTTAGAGATGGGTCTGAAGCTGCTATGGAGAGAGGGGTCGAGACTCGGGTTTTAACAAGCGGGTGGATTACAGCGTTCTTAAAGTAAGCAGGGACCTGACCAGAGACCAGAGAAGCATTAATTATAGAGAGCACGCTGGGACCGATGGACTGAAAAGCACTTTTAAACAAAGATGAGGGTAAGATGTGGAGGGGGCATGCAGAGGTCTTCATAGAGTTAACTAGTTTGGTTAACTCAGGCAAAGAAACAGGAGCAAAGCTATCTAGGATGAAGGGCCTGGTTGGAGTCGGGAGAGGCGGCGATAAGGCTGAAGGAGAGATGCTAGATCTAACCTTATTGACTTTGTCCACAAAGAAAGACAGAAAGTTCTCACAGTCTGCAACAGAGTGGATGGAGGCTGTAGGAGAGGCAGGAGAGACGATGCTGCTGATGGTGTTAAACAGCACCTTGGGGTTCCCTTTGCTCTGGGACACCAGGTTGGAGAAATAGGAAACCCTGGCGTCTCTGACTGCAGAGTTAAAGGATGTCAGAAGGTCCTTTAGGTGCAGCAGATGGACGTGGAGATGGGTTTTCTTCCACAAACGCTCAATTTTTCTGCATTGGCGCTTCAGGCTGCGAAGGCTGTCATTAAACCAGGGAGTAGGGTTCACTGCAGGAACTGATCTGGTTCTGACAGGACAGATGTTGTCCAGAATGGAGAGGCAGTGCTCGTTAAACTGAGATGTTAAGGAATCTGGGTCGTTATCAGAAGAACAGGGTTGATCAAAAGCAGCAGAAAAATTGCTAGCTGTGCTCTCATTAAGCAAACGAGAACTAACCATACGGCGAGCAGGAGGTGGGGACGCAGAAACTGACAAGTTAAAGAAAATGCAATGGTGATCTGAAATATAAACGTCCTCAGGACAAACACTGTCAGCATTTAGACTCAGGGTAAAAACAAGGTCTATAGTGTGCCCCCTGGTGTGTGTGGGGCCAGAAACATGCTGGGTAAAGCTGAAGGAGTCCATAAGGCTGGAGAAATTTATGGCAAAGTGATCACTACCCAGAATGCATTGCGACATTAACAACAATGGCGACCCACGAGTTGAACTATTTTTACAAATTTTATAAAAATGAAGACATCAAGAAGCTTTTTACACCATTTTAAAATAACTGATACTAACGTTTATCTTTTAAGAACCACATGGTTTTGTAACCCGGGTTCCTTTTTAGAATGGACCAGAATCAGTCCTTAGCAATGAAGACAACTGGTGTCTCCATACAACAGAGGCTTTTCTACAAGCTATTAAAGTCTGTTCGATACTTAGTCCCTCCGTCGTTTCACTTCATTATTACCACTTCTTACTTAGATGTTCTGATTTCTTTTTAGGAATTCAGTATTTGGCTTGATGGAAACATCTGGTGCACATTTAGTGCCAACTGCCACTTAGAAACCTAAGAAGAATGGTCTGTTAACCCTGTCAGTCATCCAGTGAGTCGTGGAGGATGGCTGCTTTGAGCCAGGATTCTCTGGAGGTTTCTTCCTGTTAAAAGGGAGTTTTCCTCTCCACTGTCGTTGCATGCTTGCTTAGTATGAGGATTGCTGTATAGTCACTGACACTAGTCAGTGACTTGATGCAACCTGCTGGGTTCCTTATATAGGAAACTTTATTTCTGATTGGCTTAATGACCTGACCTGTATTGGAATGTTTATTATGTGAAGTGCCTTGAGACGACTCTTGTCGTGATTTGGCGCTTTATAAATAAACTTGAACTGAATTGAATTGAAAACCCTTAGTGATCAACATGCTAAAGTCAAAGACCTTCTCCAGTCTGTGTTTGGACCAGAGAAACATCTGTTCAATCCAAACATACAGGGGGCGGGGCTTCATCAAACAACATGACTCAGAGCTGTCATGTCCAGACCAGACCTAGAGAAACTCATTCATGTGTTCATCTCCAGCAGGCTGGACTACTGCAATGGTCTCCTAACTGGTCTTCCCACAAAAGCTGTGAAGCAACTGCAGCTTGTTCAGAACGCTGCTGCTAGAGTCTTAACAAGAACCAGGAGAACCGAACCCATCACTCCTGTTCTTAGATCTCTACACTGGTTACCAGTAAACCACAGGATCCATTTCAAAGTGCTGCTACTAGTTTATAAACCACTCAGTGGCATGGGGCCAGAGTACATGTGGGATCTCCTTCAGGTGTCTATGCCCAGCAGGGCTCTGGGTCAGCTGGTAGAACCGGGTCAGAACCAAACCGGGTGAAGCTGCTTTTAGCTACTATGCTGCTCACAGATGGGATCAGCTTCCTCGTGACCTCAGATGTGCCCCAGCTCTAGAAACTGTTAAATCCAAATAAAAACCTTCATGTTTTCATCAGCCTTTGAGTAAATGTTCTGATGCTGCACCTTCTGCGCTGTAACTGCTCACCCTTTCACTTTGTCTCTTTCATTTTAATTTTTAAATCTACATGTAATTAGTGTTTTATTGAGCTGTTCGTGTTGATTTTAATGTTCTTGCTAATGGAAAGCACATTGAGTTGACTCTATGTGAAATGTGCTTCATTAATAAATGAGAACGGACCCACACTTGGATAACGCCTGTCACATTCACGCGCCGATGCTGATGAGCTACGATGTAGCCACAGCTGCCCTGGGGCGTGCTGACGGAGGCGAGGCACCAATCACAGGCGCCACCGTTCCCTCCGACCACCACCAGCAGGCAAGGTGGGTTCAGTGTCTTGCTCAATGACACAACAGCAGCATTCTCTGGTCGGAGCCGGGATCGATCCTGCAACCTTCTGACCCGTTCTACCTGCAGAGCTACTGCTGCCCTGTCATTACAGTGAAGTCTGTGTGTGTGTGTGTCCGAGCTGGAGTGAACCCAGAACTGTTTTCCAAGATAAAGTTTTCCTTCTCTGCCCGATCCTGCTGGTCTGATTATTTGTATGGAACCAAATCTGGATCGTGTTTGGGCCCACGGCGTTTGCAGTGGCTCTGCTCGGTCTTCATCTGGTAATTCACAGACTGAGACAGATGCCACAACAAAGGTAGCGGGTTTCCTTCCACCCTTAAGCCTCTTATTCCCGTAAGTCTGCCTGCGGCGTCGGATCCCATCGCTGATCATGTAATCCCTCTGTGGAACTGTGGAAAAGGTGAGCTCGCTGGAGACTCGGCTCCGTCCCCGTGCCTGGACCACCCCACAACCTTCTAGGACCGATGGATGAGCTCCTGTTACCGAGCGGTGAAGAAGAGACTCCCTCAGACCAAATCTCCCCAGAAGCCTTGGGGATGACGATGGGGGACCGGATCAAGTCCTTCTTCCTGGATCCAGGGAACTGGGACCAGTGGCGAAACCTGAGGGATTTCTTTAAGAAGAATGGTCTGTTAACCCTGTCAGTCATCGCCGTGATCACTGGCTGCACGTTGGGCTTCATGCTGAGAGGAACCCAGCTGTCCACGCAGGTACAGAACCAGAACCTTCATCTTTCAGACCTCCTCCTTGACCTGTGTTGGAGCAGAGAAACATGTAAGCATGCAGGACACCCTGCCGTAGATCCTACATTAGCTGTTTGGTCCTCATGAGTTTATGTTTGAGATGGTTTTTGAGTCAGAACCTGAGCCTGGAGGTCTGAGATGGTCCCATCCAGTCCAGCAGGGAGGAAGAAGTGTAACGTTTAGGTTTTACTCCCAGGAAAAAGGCTGTCGGACTCCAATCCAGTTAGGAATGTGTTTATTAGAGTTATGGAGGTCATTTGGCATCTCACCTCAGTAGGCCTGCCACCTGATGACATCATTCTCATCGTGGCCATTGATTGGGTCCAGTAAGTCAACGAGCTGATCAAGAGAAACTGCTGGTATGAGCCTGATGCTGTCCTTGTTTCTGCAGTGACAGGTTTCAGACCTTGATAAACGTTCTCGGGGACGCCCTGGCAGCAGGAATCATCGCCCATCTTTGTCTTTCCGACAACGATGGGCGATGATTCGAACAGCATTTCCTCCACCGTGCTCATCTGTGTGCACTCCACACGTAAATGATAAATGAGCCACGCTTTCAGAGTCTGAGGACTATGTAGAGTTAGCATATGTATGTGTTTTGGGTGCTTTTTAAGCTCAATATACTACACTACATTTGGCCAATAAAATGTGAATTTCTATATAAATATGGAAATCAACCTGATTGGTCTTGGATTATTTGTTTACTCAGGGATCGTAAGACACTTTGTGTTAATTCAGTCAAGTTAAAAACATGATAACTAGGAAACTGTGATGGTTGGATCTGAGTGGATGGGATGTGAGGGGTGATGACGTGTGAATGTGATGTGATAAGAAACTGAGTTCTGAGTGGGAGTGAATTTGGGCTGCTATAACCCAGCGGGCACATCACCAGTGATTCAGGGTTGAATCAGCATCATGGACCATGGTTGAGTCACCGCTGGATGTGGTTTTGAAAGGTGGATCAGCGTTGATGTCCCGACGTTCCAACACCGGGACATCAACGCTGATATCACAACGTCTTTTCAATGTTTCATTAATGTTGATTTTCCAACACAATTCCAACATTTACCACCGTACCCAACTGGCTTCTACATGTTCACACCTTCACTGATCAGAACCAAATCCTTGAGGAAACGTAATGTGTTGCATTTCTTGAATTATCACACAAAGTTATACTTCTGCTCCTGTTTTCAGTAACGGTCACACACGTACCGCAGATGCTCTGGAAGAGCAAAGACTCAGAAAAGGCCATTTTCCCACACCTCCCCTTCAGGCTCATTTGTGCCATCATTGAATTTGTCAGTGTCCTGGTAAACAAATGGACATTTCAGTTAGTTACCTGATAGCTCTGCAAGGGCTACAAATATTTAGCCATTACGAAAATACTTTATGTAAACCACATGAATTTAGATACATACGCTGTCATGGATGTTTTTACCATGTCCCCCCAGTCTTTTGAAATGTGAAAGCTGAAAGAGGAAAAAACAAAGACAGTACTTAAAAACAAACATCATAAACAAAAACATGAATCAGTTGAAGCTTACAAAGCTGCTCTCTCTTGCTCGTTTGTGAGACGACTCTCCAGTTCCCTGAAGTCCATCTGGGTGTCTGCGGGCTTGAATTGCACTGTTGGGCCTTGTGTCATTCCGAGATCCGTTCTTCCAGAATCACATATTTCAATGAGCAGCTGAAGCACTTTCTTCTGGAATTCTAGGTAACAGGAGAAGGAGCACACCTGTTATCTAATAGTATTGTAGCTTGGAATGACCATCCCTCATTAGAGTCATTAAAACGAAGACGTACAATTAAACTTACTTTCTTCTGACAAAGGGAAGTTGGAGGAGTTAGAGGAACGGCGAGAGCTGGAGTGGCTGGGAATTTTCTGTTGGCTGCCAGAGAGGGACTTTCTTTGGCTTCGTTCGTACCTTTCATCTAATCCAATTTTGTCTACAGGAAAGACAAAGTAAGCAAAGCTCCACCAAACGTTCATGAACCGTATTTAAACATGCAGTTCAGTAACACAAAAATGAAATGTTTAACATGATCACTTGCCAGATTGTACAATATTTAACTTGTCGGGTACGCAGGGAAGAGGAGGGAAATCATCTATGATGGAATAGGCATGATTGTGTCGGGCTGATCAGACTGGATGAAGGAGACGAACAAGGTGAGACGTTTAACAGTTTTATTATTTCTCCGGTCGTATCTCTGTGAGGAAGAAACGATGACTGAGATGAGAAGCCGGTACCGGCGTCTTCCATATATAGCCTTGCTTGGCTGTGACGTGGAGGGAATCCCCGCGAGGAGCACGCTGGGAGCTCCCCATGAGGAGCATGTCGGGAGTTGTGGTCCGAAAGTCAGCCGGGAGATACCTGAGTCCTGACAGGACCCCCCGGTCCAGGGACGGCTCCAGAAGTCCCAGCGCGACCCCGGCGGACCCAGAAGTCGGAGATCAGGGAAGGGTCCAGGATGGACCGAGCCGGCTCCCAGGAGCGTTCCTCGGGGCCATAGTCCTTCCAGTCCACTAGGTACTGCCAGCCCCGACCCCTGCGGCGAGCGTCCAGGATGCGCCGGACGGTGTAGATAGGCTCACCGTCGAGGAAGCGGGCAGGAGGCGGCGCCGGAGCCGGAGGCGGGAGAAGGGAGGACTCCACGAAGGGCTTGAGCCGGGAGGTATGGAAGGTGGGATGGATGCGGAGAGTAGCCGGCAGTCGCAACCGGTACGTGACCGGGTTGATGACCCTTTGGATGGGGTATGGGCCGAGGAACCGAGGAGCGAGTTTCTTGGCCCCGGCACGGACCCGAAGGTCAGCCGTGGACACCCAGACCTTGTCCCCAGGAGCATAGGAGGGACCAGGACGGTGTCGACGGAGATGCTGGCGAGCATAGCTGGTGTTAGCTCTGGTTATGGAGGCTCGTGCTTTGATCCAGGCGCTCTTGCAGCGTCTCACCATGGCTTCCGCTGCTGGAACGGCGACCTCGGGTTCTTGATGGGCAAAGACCGGGGGCTGGAAGCCATAGCAGACCTCGAAAGGGGACAGCCGAGTGGCAGATGAGGTGTGAAGATTGTGGGACAGCTCCGCCCAGAGGAGGTATTTAGGCCACTGTGAGGGTTGAGCCGAGACAAAACAACGAAGGTACCGACCCAGCTGTTGGTTAGCCCGCTCCGTCTGGCCATTGGTCTGCGGGTGGAAGCCTGAGGATAGACTGACCGATGCTCCCATCAGCCGACAGAAAGCTTTCCAGAACCGGGCCGTGAACTGGGGCCCCCGATCCGAGACCACGTCGACTGGGAACCCGTGGAGGCGCACCACGTTCTCCAGGAACAGTTCCGCTGTGCGTTGGGCTGAGGGGAGACCCGGAAGGGCGATGAAATGGACAGACTTGGAAAAGCGGTCCGTAACCGTCATGACAGTGTTGAGGTTATTGACCGACGGGAGACCTGTGACGAAGTCCAGCCCCACGTGGGACCAGGGGCGGCTGGGCACCGGAAGAGGTCGGAGGGCACCAGCCGAGGCCTGGTTGGGGTTCTTGGAGCGGGCACAGACGTCACAGGCGCTGGTGTATTCTTTCACATCCCTCGCCATGCCTGGCCACCAGAGGGCTCGCTGGAGGAATTTAAGAGTTCTGGAGAAACCAGCGTGGCCAGACAGGCGTGATGAGTGGGCCCAGGACAACGCCTCGCTGCGACAGGCCGTGGGGACATAGAGGCGACCCGCGGGGGTCTCAGGAGGCGCGGGGTCGTCCCGGAGGGCGTTCTGGATAGCTTCCTCCAACGGCCACCTCAGTTGGCCCAGGAAACGGTGTTCCGGGAGGATTGGCGCTGGCTCGGACGAGGGCGAGGAGTGGGTGAATTGGCGGGAGAGGGCGTCCGCCTTCTGGTTCTTGGCTCCCGGGCGGTAGGCGAGATGGAAGTCGTAGGGTTCAAAGAAGAGGGCCCAGCGAGCCTGGCGAGGATTAAGCTGCTTGGCAGATTTTATGTGGGTCAGGTTCTGATGGTCAGTCCAGATCGTGAAAGGCTGAGTGGTGCCCAGAAGCCACTGCCTCCATTCCTCCAATGCCCATTTTATGGCCAGTAACTCACGGTCGCCCACACCGTACTTCTGCTGGGTGGTGGAAAACTTCCTGGAGAAGTAGGCGCAGGGATGGAGCCTGTCGTCGGGCCCGCCTTGAGACAGGATGGCGCCGGCGCCGACGTCAGAGGCGTCGACCTCGACCACAAAGGGGACTGCAGGATCTGGATGGCGGAGGATCGGGGCCGAGGTAAAGCGGGTGACCAGGTGGTGGAAGGCCCGAATGGCGTCGGGAGTTAGATGAAACGGCTGGCCAGGGGAGCCTGGTCGAGTGAGAGAGGTGAGAGGGGCTACGAGGGTGCTATAGTTCTTTATAAAACGGCGGTAAAAGTTGCAGAAACCCAGAAAACTCTGCAGTTGTTTCAGGCTGGTTGGCAAGGGCCAGTCCTTCACCGCCTGGATTTTCTGAGGGTCCATGGTTATCCCTTCGTCCGAGATCCTGTAACCCAGGAAGGATATGGACTGCTGATGGAAGGAGCATTTCTCGGGTTTACAGTACAGGTTGTGGTCCAGGAGCCGGGTCAGGACGGCGCGAACATGATGGATGTGTTCGGCCTCGGATTTGGAGTAGATCAGTATATCGTCCAGATAGGCGAACACCCACCGTCCCAGCATGTCGCGGAGGACATCATTAATGAGACGTTGGAAGACAGCAGGGCTATTGCATAGTCCGAAGGGCATAACCAGGTACTCCCAGTGGCCGGTGGGTGTTATGAAAGCGGTCTTCCACTCATCCCCGGCCTTTATACGGACCAGATTGTAGGCGCTCCGGAGATCCAGTTTCGTAAAGATCCGTGCCTGGGAGATGGCATCCAGAGCGGTAGTGAGGAGCGGCAGAGGATGGCGGTCCTTGACCGTGATCTTGTTCAGACCCCGATAGTCTATGCAGGGGCGAAGATCGCCTTCCTTTTTCCTCACGAAGAAGAAGCCAGCGGCACCCGGAGAGGAGGAGGGTCGAATGAACCCCTGCTGGAGGGCCTGGGCGATATATTCTTCCATCGCTTTGGTCTCGGGAGGCGCGAGAGAGAAAAGGCGCCCGCGGGGAGGACTGGTTCCGGGTAGCAGCTTGATCTCCATATCATATGGCCGGTGAGGTGGCAGGGAGGTGGCACGCCGCTTGTCGAACACCGCGGCCAGGTCCCGATAGGGCAGCGGCAGGTGGGGCGGTGTGGAGCTGGGGCCTCCGTCCGGAAGACCCGCCGAGGATGGAGGAGGAGCGAGGTGGGTCTGGCACGAGGTCCCCCAGCCCAGCAGGCGGTTCTGGGACCAGGAAATATGAGGGTCGTGGAGACGGAGCCAGGGGAACCCCAGGATTAGGGGAGAAGAGGGAGCAGAAATGATCAGGAAATGGAGGGTCTCCTGGTGGCCTTGGGTGATCATACGGAGTGGCTGGGTTCGGTCTCGGACTGGGTAGGGTTGGAGAGGCCTACCGTCCACCGAGGTCACTGGTATAACCCTCTCCAGGGGTTGTAGGGGGATCCGTAGGCGTTTTGCCAGATCCAGGTCCATGAAATTGTCCGCGGCCCCCGAGTCCACCAATGCGTTTACGTGGAGTGAGGCCTCACCATGGAGGAGGGTGACAGGAATAAGGAGACGGTTAGTAGCGACAGGGGTAGAAGAAGACCCAGACTGAGCGACCCCAATACTCAGTGGGGCCCCCCGTTTCCCGATCGTCGCGGGCAGTCCAGGCGTCGGTGGTCGGGAGAGCCACAGTAGGCACAGAGGCCCTCGTGCCACCGTCGTTGTCTCTCCTCGGGGGGAAGGTGGCCGAGCTGCATGGGCTCCTCCGTCAGCATGGGTACAGGAGCTGGCGTGGGTGAACGAGGGCGAGGCACCGGCATCCTGGGGGGACGCGTGGATAACTTGGGTCGAACCAGAACCCGCTGGTCGATGCGCAGCGCCAGATCAACCACCTCATCCAGGGTCTGAGGCAGCTCCCTTCCCGCCAACTCATCACGGATGTAGGGTGCCAGCCCCTCCAGGAAGGCGGCCCGCAGAGCGGAGTCATTCCACTGCAGCTTGGCGGAGATGGTGCGGAACTCCGACGCATAAGCGCACACCGAGCGTTCCCGCTGGCGGAGTTTGAGAAGGCGTGTCTCTGCTCCCACTTCGCTGCTGGGGGGAACAAAGGTCTTCCGGAGAGCGGACACAAACGCAGCATAGTCGTTGCAGGCAGGGGATTTGGAATTGTAAAGCGCAGCAGCCCACTCCGCGGCGCGTCCGGAGAGCAGGGAGGTGAGATGCGCCACTCGGGAGCGCGCAGATGGGTAGCGTCCAGGTTGGCACTCGAACTGCATGTCCAGCGTGGCGAGCAGACCATCAGGGCTCCCCGTCTCTCCGTTCCACCTCTCCGGCAGGCTGAAGTGGGGCTCCTCCCTAGGAGCAGAGCGGGTTGGATGCTGGAGTGCCGCGATCTGTTGCTGCTGATCGTTTGCTTGTTGTTGGAGAGCCGTGAGAGCCGTGGATAGACGCAGGGTGTGGTCGGACAAGGAGTTCACCTTGGTGTTGAGCTGATCTACCATGGAACGCAGCTGCACGTTCTCGTGGCGGAGACGATCGATCTCCGTCGGATCTACTTGGATCTCAGTCATCCTGTCGGGCTGATCAGACTGGATGAAGGAGACGAACAAGGTGAGACGTTTAACAGTTTTATTATTTCTCCGGTCGTATCTCTGTGAGGAAGAAACGATGACTGAGATGAGAAGCCGGTACCGGCGTCTTCCATATAAAGCCTTGCTTGGCTGTGACGTGGAGGGAATCCCCGCGAGGAGCACGCTGGGAGCTCCCCATGAGGAGCATGTCGGGAGTTGTGGTCCGAAAGTCAGCCGGGAGATACCTGAGTCCTGACAGATTGATTATAAATATCACGATAACAAAAGCGATAGGCAGTTTCAGGGTTGCCACTTCAACTATTCACTCAAGGAGCTCATGAACAGATGCTCGTGTTGCCTTACTGCCAACAGCCCACTTAGTAAGGGGTCTGTTTCACTGCTGCTGTGGTCGTCCAGGTCACACACGTCTTCAGTCTCAGTGGCTGTGGAACACTCCGCATCACCAAAATCTTCTCTTTGATTGCTGCTGTTTGTCGAACACAGGCCAACTTCAGGATCAAAATGCTGATCCTCCCCTGAGTCACTGGTAGATACTAACATTTCTTGCAACTTGGCATTCATCCTCCTCCATTTCTTCAGGTAGGCCATCTATGCAGACATAAAAATAAGGAACTGTTGAATCTATTCAAATTAATTTCACTAGTAAGTTGTAAAAAAATTTTACCAATCGTGGAAAAAGTCAGTAGAGGATTAAAAGTCACTAAATTCCTTAAAGGAATGGTTTGGACCAGGTGGATGATGGACTACAGCAAAGTAGAAATGGTCCTTATGCTCAGCTGCAGTTCAAAGGAAGCAGAGCGACCAGAGGTAGAGCCACATGGTCAACGATAGCTAGGCCTCCACTTCAACCAGAACCCTGAGGCAGCCTATGAAAGCATACACTCGGGCAGAGTTCAATCACACCAGAATAATGAGATATTTGCTGCCAAACGTCAGTAAAAACAGAAAATCCAGGTTTTTAGAGAGAATTCAATCATTAAAGAGGAAGGACTTATTGTTATTGGAGCGGGTATTCAATAGAGCCATGCTGAGTGAGGTGGAGGAATCAGAAACTACAGAAACAGCTGGAGTTAGTGGACGTAAGTTAGCAGGATTATGTTAGTAAAAATCACTCATGGAGGAAACATCAGGAGGAACATCTGAAGAATGAGAATAAACAGACCTAGGAAACATGGACGGAGAAACCCTCACGGCTGCATCGCGACCTGGCGGGAATGTGGAACTGGCTCTCATGTCGCCAAACAAAGAACAAGGAGCTGAATGGTCGATGTTTACTACTGTACGCTTCAAAAGAAGCCTTATTCTCATCTGGATTCCTGCTCGTTTAGCCTTTTTCCTCCAATTTGAAATCGGTTTCGGTTATTTGTTTCCTTAAATAGCTGTAATGCTATGCAGCTCCGTAGTTTAGTCATAAATAAGGTTCACAGTTTGTTTTTGAGAAAATAAAAAACTTAAATTACCTTCAAACGTTGTAGCCACACACACCTCTGGTCCTGCTTCTTCTCCGTCTCCTGCTCCTTTCATCCTTCATGCAGCTCTTCTTCGTGTTTGTTGTCTTCTTTTTCCTCTGCAGACTAACGTAAAAATCATGCAGACTTACATACTCAGACGTGCATCTCGGTCGTGGGGAACTGGTGGGGTGGGGCCAGGGGCCAAGAAATCACCACTAAGCCAACCTGGATCGGAAAGTATCTACGGAGGGCGTACAGCTCTAGATCAATAAAAGTGGAGCAGGCATTTCGTACAATAATATTCATTTTAACTTCAGTAATTTAAGCACAGATTAATCAAAACATTGTTATTATTCTTCAGCCATTATTGTTCATTCAACCATATAATAATTTATGTATTTCATTGCATCTTTCAGTATTCGTTGTAAGCAGCTAAAGATAAGAGGAGACTTCAGAGGGACTTTGGTCAGGCAACAGTATCTTGCAGATTAAAGGTTCCAGTTAAGACTTATGTCTCCACATGACCCCGATACTGGAGAGGTCAACTGTAGATGAAGAACTGACCCTTTCTGGATGCTACACCTCCAAAGCGCTTTACCCTACAGCACGGGTAGGGAACCCTGGTCCTGGAGATCCACTTTCCAGCACATTTTAGAGGTTGTCCTGCCTTAAAACACAAGATTATAATCAGCAGGTGACTAAAAGTCTTCTGCAGAGCCTAATGAGTAGTTGAACAGGTGACGCAACTTTGTTGAAGCAGGGCGACCTCTAAAACATGCTGGACAGTGGCTCTGCAGGACCAGGGTTCCCTACCCCTGCCCTACAGTGTATCATTCACACTGGTGGTGATGAGCTTACAATCTACCACACTGACAGAGGCGAGGCTTCCAACCACCGGTCCCTCCGACCACCTCCAGACAAGGTGGGTCAAGTGTCTTGCCCGAGGACACAACAGCAGAATTCTCTGTCCGGAGCCGGGATCAAACCTGCAACCTTCTAATTACTGGACATCCCACAGCCTGAGCTGCTGCTGTCCTTTACAGTCCCGCCTCCTAGTTTGATTGACAGCCACTGGTTTCTGCTCGCAAACAGTTTTTGCAACATTTAAACACAAACTGGGAGACTGCCAGTGACGCGCGACAGCACACGGGACGAGTGAAGTCATGAAAACGTGGAACATCTGGTCACCCTGTTTTCACGTTTACTGTTTCCACCATTTGCGTCACAATACAGCCAAAAGGTTTCTGGTGTTTTTGTAAAAGAGACGCAGGGCAGTCATGTGATGTGCAGCTGCTAAAAGGGGTTCTAAAGAGGTACCGCCAATCCTGAATCCAATAGGTTGTCTTTCACGTCAAGATGCTGAATTTGATCATTTCCCTCCTCAGGCTAAGATCTACTTCTCTTTTCCTGGAGAGCTGCTGATGAGGATGCTGAAGATGCTCATCCTTCCTCTCATCACATCCAGGTAGGTGGACCAGAAGCGATCAGGGGATGCTGCGAGGAAAGGTTTTCAGGTTCAGGGACCTCGTTATTAAACCTGCACATAGGATCTTTACTAAAACCCTACTTAAGCTCCATAAACAAAATGTACTCACAAAACAATGATCTGACCTATCACCTTCATTCAATAATGAGGCAAGTTTAAAAATAAAGAAATTTAATTACTAACAATTTTAAACTGAAAGATTTGAAGTGACAATTATAAAAAATGACAATTCATGGATGGCAGTTTTAATGAAAATCCTTAACAGCTTTGATATTAAACTTGTTTAAAAGCAAACCCGTGTTGGATGGAGCTAAAATTGAGAATGATGAGTTTTGAATGCGTGAATGAAGTTCTCAAGAGGTTTCTTTCAGAGGGAATGGAAGGTGTTCTGGATGAAATGATGTTTTGCAGATAACTGAGTTATTTTAGAGAAAACAGCATCAAACGCATTCTATCGAGTTCTACCTCACCCGAAACAGGGCCCCCTTTGCGGATCCGGACATCAGAAGGATGGTTTCATCCAAGGCGGCACTTCGGCTGGTAGGGGAGACGCAAGTGCCGATGGTCCGGTGCAGAGATGTCCTGGGTACACGGCTGTACGAAGCGTTTGGCAGATGCACGTTCTCGTATTTAAATTAACTTCAGAAATCAATGACTCTGGGAGAGTCTTGCGTTAGCTGGTTCACGGTTCGTTTGTTCTTTAGCCGTTCTTGTCGGCATGACAGAATAGCTTGCAGAGGGTCAAGGAGACGGCTGCTCTCCTTTCCTTGTGGCGTCGGTTGAAGAACTGGACGTGAAATCTGTGATGGTTAGATTTTACCAAACTCTCTCAGAACCCCTCCCTCTCTCTCCGGAAGAAAGCTTGGTCATGCGTCAAAAACAACACGTGCTGCAGTTATTGGTATCTGAACTTTGTGTTAGCTGACAGTGAAGGTCTTCTGTGCTGAACACCTCTTTAATCATTGTAATAATTATCATTATTATACCTTTATATCTGAACCAAGTGATCATGTATTAATGATTATTTAAACAGTAATAAAATCATAAGTTTATTAATTATTATTTAATTATTATCATCGTGGCCTGAAGTGTCCTTCTTCTGGGACGGAACAGCAGATGATGTTATGATCTTGGCTAGACATCGTGGCTTCTTGGGTTTAATCTGTGGATTCAAAGTACTGTTTGACCCAGCTTGACCCAGCTTGACCCAGCTTGACCCAGCTGGGCAAATGTGACCTTTGGCACAAATCAGAGAACCTTCATGCCGTTACACCAATGTAGGGAAGCTAAGACAGGAGAGATATGATCTCTCTTTTTAATTCTCATCAGAACTCTAGCTGCAGCATTTTGGACAAGCTGAAGACTTTTAACTACATTCTGTGGACTTCCTGAGAGTAATGGATTACAGTAATCCAGTCTTGATGTAATAAATGCATGAACTAGTTTTTCAGCATCACTCCTGGAAAGGATGCGTCTAATCTTAGCAATATTCCGAAGGTGGAAGAAGGAAATCCTACAAACCTGTTTAACCTGGGATTTGAATGACATGTCCTGGTCAAAGATAACACCAAGGTTCCTTGCTTTGTTCTCGGAGATTAATGTAATGCCATTCAGGTCAGGTGATTGGCTAAGCAATTTCCTTTTCTGGATTTCTGGTCCAAAGACGAGAACTTCCGTCTTGTCTTGATTTAAAAGCAAAAAGTTTAGAGTCATCCAATGTTTTATGTCCTCAAGACAAGCCTGTAATCTACCCAACCGATTAGGTTCATCAGGGTTAATGGATAAATATAACTGAGTATCGTCAGCATAACAGTGGACGTTTATCCCACAGGATGACAGATGATGGATGGAGTGATGGAAGGTGAGCTAGATGTTTTAGCAAAACATTTCTTAAGTATCTGAGAGAGCTTGTGAAGTCTGGGTTGTAAAATCCATTTGGTTGTGTGGTTTGATACGCTAGAGATTTGTTTATAAAGAACCATCCGATGCAATTTGTGCCGATCTATGCATGCTTGTGTGAAGATCCCAATCAAACCATCATCCTGTCATCTAGCTTCTACTGCAACGAGCCACTTGCAGTAAGCACCACTGACAGCAGCAGGTGTGCTGGTATGAGCCACGCCCATCTACCTCCGCACTGTGGGTCCCCTACTGTAATGGCTGGCTGTGTGGACCCAAACAGAACTCCGTACACGAGAGAACGTTTAAGGATTTTATGAAAACGTTTAACTTTTGCAGCTGAGGCAGGAATTTAAGAGCAGGTTGCTCAAGGATATTACCCACCAGCTGATGATCCAAGTAGTGCAGAAGGTTGGTCAGAGGATGGGCTAGGGTCAGAACCAGGAGGACGGCGAGCAGAGTAATCCAATATGGGGCAGGCTGATGACAGGAGTCAGCAAACAGGTTCCGGGTCTTAATCCATAAAACAGAGGCAGGCAAGATGTCCAGGTGGGGCGAGACAAGAAGGATAATCCAGGGAGCCGCTCAGTAACGAGGAGTCAGACTGAAGAGGAAAGCTGGATATTTACTCACACAAAGGCTTTCCATAATCTGACAAAGAGTTGATGGTTGGCTGAGGTTTAGATGGCAGGTGAAACAGGTGAGCAGGTATGGCAGATGAGCCTGAAGGGAGCAGGCTGTGGTTGTCATGGAGATGAGGGCAGACAGAGCTGGATCATGACGCCTACTGCCAAAATAAACACATAGGAGTCTATGGAGGGCTAGGGTTAGGGTTAAACGGCTCAGAATGCTGCAGCACGTATTCTAACCACGCTGCTTCTGAAACTCCTCATTGGCTTCTGTCAGGGCAGATTTCAAGGTCGTCTAGCTGACCTCTAAAGAGCAGAAAAACCTGGCACCAGTTTATGTTGTGGAGCTTTTGAAGCCATGCGTCCCAAGTAGATCACTGTGCTCCAACGCTGCGGGGCTCCCGTGCGTTCTTAACATAAAATGCACGACGACTGGAGGTTGTGCGTTTGCTCATCGTGGCTCTGGAACCTCTGTTGAGGTCTTCACGGCCAGACTGAAGAGCCACTTATTTACAGCTACTTACTCTGATTAACTATCATCAGTTTCACCTTGATACGGATCTGGTGTGGGACTGAGTTTTCCTGGTGAGCTGAACTGTATCGTATAGGTAGAAACTTCTGTCACCCTGGTGCAAATCCATAATAGTCACATGAGTTTAGTAAAACTGTTTAATTTGGTTCTTCTACCTCCTAAATAATCTGGACTCTGCTGACTCTTCTCACGACCATCAAATAACAAGCTGGTCACCATTTTTTGTGACTTTGGTTTAAACTCTTATTATTCATCTACAAGTTTAATAAAACCGTTATGGGGCTTAAGGAGAGCCAAACGAGTCCAGACTCTATTTAGGAGACAGAAGAGCCAAATTAAACAGTTCTATTAAACTAGTTCCCATATTTAAGAATGCTTGAAATGGAAAATTGTGGATTTTTATATCTTCCACATCATGTAAATGAGTCAAATTAGACATTTTTTTTCTCTAAATGATGCCCTGTCGCTTTATTGTGAAAGGGTTCCACAATGACACTAAAACTGAGGCCATAGTCTTGACTCCGGGTACATCAGATGGTTCCACCTCTGGCGCTGACCTTGGCCCTTTGGCTGCTAATGTGAAGAGCCTCATCAACAACTTTGGGACCAGATTGGATTTGGCCAAGAAGCGTTATGCAGAAATGAATCAGCCTGACCAGATTAAATCCCTGTTGTCTAGAGTACATCTAGTTACCCACGCTTTGGTCCTCTCCAGGTTAGATCACTGCAGCGCGCCGCGCGCCGGCCTGAGTCCGGGCGCGGTTGCATGGCTGCAGTCACGCAGGAGCACATCACCCCCACTGTGGACTCTCCACACGGGCTCCTGGTGCATTTCAGGGCCACAGTCGTTAACGTTGGTGTACAAAGCTCCTCGGTGAGCTGCACCCCCACACCTCAGCAGCCTCCTGCAGAAGCACGCTGCATCACGGCTCTTGGCTCAGCTGATGGAGCTGTTGGTGGTTCCCCGCTCAAAATGTCCATCACGGGGGGGAGGGTGGGGGATGGGGGGGGGGGGGGGGGGTGTTCTGCTGCCTCTGGCTGTGTGCCAGCCTTCACTGTTGGTTTTGAAGACCCACCTGAAGACCCACTTTTATGTCTTAACTTTCCTCCATTAGTCATCGTCCCTTTTGTACTGTGTTAGTGTTGCTGGTTGGTGTTGTGTTGTGTTTCTGCTTTTGTGTTCAGCACCACGGACAGCGATGAGGTCTCGGAAGGGCTTCATAAATAAACTCGTAGATAAAGTTCTGACGTTTGTTTTAGATTTTCTAGATTCCAGCTACACACGAGTGAGGCCCAGCCATGTCCTGCAGTAAAATGAAACATCTTCATTTTAACAGTGAAGCCCAACGTGTCTAGAGTCTTCTGAGGTCCGGTGAGCTGGTTCTGGGAGGTACCAGAACCCGAAGAACTGACCCGTGTTGTTTCTTTTCTGTAACGCAGTTTGATGTCGGGCTTGTCGTCGATGGAGTCGAAGGCGTGCTGCAGGATGGGCGTCCTCACGGTCACCTACTACCTGTGGACCACCTTTATTGCCGTGGTGGTCGGCATTGTCCTCGTCCTCATCATCAAGCCCGGTGTTGGGACGGAGATGGACAGCAACCGGTTAGGGGGCGGGCCCGTCATGACGTCAGCAGATGCCCTGTTAGACCTGATCAGGTGAGCGTGGATACCTGCAGCGGACCTCTCCTCTCCAGCTCACCTGTCGGTGCAGATCTCAGACCTGATGGAAGCTCTCATGATGCAATCAGATTGGTTCATCTTCAAAAATGTCATTATGGACTCGCTGTGAGCGACTGTCAGCTGGACTGTGGACCAGAGGCAGGCTGGCCCTGTTAGTCTGGCCGTGTGCGTTAGCAGGGTGGGGTAGGGGTTAATGAACAGGGGGGGGGGGGGGGCTCTGAGAGGGTAGGAGGCAGACCGTCGCTGCAGTCTGCTCCATGTGTGAGTTGGGGGGGGGGGGGGGGGGGGACATCTACCGGCCCTACAGCACACTGGCCATTCTGGGATTCTCCAGAACTCAGATCAGCAGTCCGCCGCTGCTCCAGCCTACCGGAGCCAGAGGGTTGGGGGGTTTTAAAGTCTTGGATCCTATGACATGTTGAGAGGAGGGAACCAGTCCGACTGGACCACCTGCGCGGGACTTGGCTTGTGTTGACCCAGTTCTAGAGAAACATCCGTATTTACAGAACAACAGTCATCAAAACAGCTCCACCTGAATCCCGTTAGCGTGCCGGCTCATCTGAGTATTTTTAGTAATCCAGCAGGATGAGCAACAGATTAAGGAGTCAGTGATCTGTGCTGCGGCACGTTGGCATGGCGAGTGCTCGTGCTGCTCATGTGAGCTGCACGAGCACCTTCCTGTTGACCTCTGGACCACAGCGGCGTCGGCGCTGCAACAGAAGCACAGAGGGATCAAATATCGTTGCTATGGATGAACGTTGGCAGTCTGGAATGAACAAGAGTCTAAGCAGATTGGGTCGGTTTGTTCCCCTGCAGATGGACTCCATTATTTCCTGAATGAAGCAGAAGATACTTGTAGGTCTGAAGATGGTTGGTTGTGCTTGGGTTCATGCGTGAACATGAGTGACAGCTTGTAGCTGAAGCAGACAGGACGTGCAACCTGACTGGACGATCTGCTCGACCTCCTGATGATGTCGGGCTTTTGAACAGGAATCTGGTCAGCAGGGACCAAATATACAAATAATACGTATTCATTTAGTTATTTCAGGTAAAATAGACTTATTTTTGTGTCAGGTCATTTTTCTAACCGTAGCCGTGATGGAGGGAAGTTCTGTTGCAAACGCCATGCTCGTCCTCCAGACGACGTTCTGCTGTTCTAGCCAATAGTGACGGGATTCATGGCTCTTTAAGGGAACCGTTCATCAGTCAGTAACCTCTGTATGTGTGTGTGTGTGTGTGTGTGTGTGTGTATGTGTGTGTGTGTGTGTGTGTGTGTGTGTGTGTGTGTGTGTGTGTATCTGTGTGTGTGTGTGTGTGTGTGTGTGTGTGTGTGTGTGTGTGTGTGTATGTGTGTGTGTGTGTGTGTGTGTGTGTGTGTGTGTGTGTGTGTGTGTGTGTGTGTGTGTGTGTGTGTGTGTGTGTATGTTCTTTTATTTTTCAGACCCAGACTCAAATTCTTCTAAAGCCTGTTGATAATCTGTTTGTTTTTTGTTGTAATTAAAATGTAATTTTATTTATAATTTAGTTTTTTTTATTTCCTTCCCAGACCTCTTGGCCAGGTCGTGTTTGTAAACGAGAACATGATCTGAAACGTTTTACCTGCTAAAATAAAGGTTGAAAAATGAACCGGATGCTTTAACTCATGGAGGCTGCAGCGGTTCTGCTGTGTGTGAGCAGATCGAGCTTTTCATGAGCGCGTGTGTTTTTGCTGCTTGGGTGATGCGGAGCGGTGAGGAAACGCGTGCAACAAAACCGACCATAACACCGGTGTGCAGAGGTACGGGTTTCCATCTGCAACAGGAGACGGCACATGGAGACTGGACCTTCTGTACAGTTGTTTAGCTGACCTGCAGGAACGTGTGGGTGTTCAACCTCCTCATTTGAAGTCATCACAGGTGCAACACCCACAGGGTGTGTTAGCTGTCAGAGAGCGCGGCCACTGGTCAGTCTGTGGGCGGGGTCAGTCAGACGCCAGAGTGTTTAAGCTCTGCTGAGTCTTGGGTGTCCCTTTGACCCGTACAACCAACCCAAACCTGTCTGACCCAGTCGTTTGTCTTCTTGTTCCACAGAAACATGGTTCCCTCCAACTTGATCGAAGCCACATTTCAGCAGGTAAAACTGGACCCGTGAAAAACTGTTGGTTTTCTTCTGGTTCCTTCTAACAACCCAGCTCTGTTTCAGTACAAAACGGACCTGATCCCAGTCCTCAAAGTTCCAACCAGAACCTTCCAGCCCAACTTTGTATATGTCGTCCCAGATGACAATGACCCCAAAGGTCAGACTGTGTACCTGGAGCTGACTCCACCCCCTGATGTCATCTACAAGACCAGCCCTGGCAGCAGTCAACAGATGAACGTCCTTGGAATCGTCATCTTCTCCGCCACCATGGGTGAGTTTAAACGGTTCAGAAACAGAATAAACCTTTCGACTGGACCCGTTTAGATTCTTCAGTTCTGAAGAACAAGGTTCTGCTGGCCAGCCGTGTCTCTGGTAAAGAACTCAAAGACTCTTCTTCCTCAGAAAACTTTATTTCTGCAGACTCACATAGACTTAACGGGGAGCACATCCTCCTCTAGGGGAGGCCAACGTTTCCATTTTAAAACAAATGTACCCGCCTTCACTTGTTGGTCGCATCAGTGGGCAAGTCCACTGACGGTGTTCAGACAGACTCCACCATCTCCTCCGCCAAGTCTGAGTTAAACCTGCAACACAGAAAACAATACCCCCTTTTAAAGACTTCACAGGGCTGCACTGTGAAGCATATGTCGCATGTGCGATTAACAACTATTTTTAGACGCAGCACTCGTGCAACATCGTTTAGAGACACCTTTGTCTCCTTGAACTTTATTGAACCAATGTAAGTTTCTTGTTATTTTGTAAGGAAGATGCCTTTTACTGGAGCACCATGAGCCAACAGGTGCTGTGGAAACCAGCAACGACACAAAGGCGAGACGGTCCGACGTTTGGGATTGTTAAAGGTTCTGTTACCGGCTCTGTTACGGGTTCTGTTACGGGCCACGTTACGGGCTCTGTTACGGACCCTGTTTCGAGTTCTGTTACGGACCCTGTTACGAGTTCTGTTACGGGCTCTGTTACGGACCCTGTTACAGGTTCTGTTACGGACCCTGTTACGAGTTCTGTTACGGGCTCTGTTACGGACCCTGTTACAGGTTCTGTTATGGGTTCTGTTACGGACCCTGTTACAGGTTCTGTTACAGGCTCTGTTACGGGTTCTGTTACGGTCCCCGTTACGGGTTCTGTTGCGGGCCCTGTTACGGGCTCTGTTATGGGCGCTGTTATGGGTTCTGTTATGGGCTCTGTTACGGACCCTGTTACGAGTTCTGTTACAGGTTCTGTTACGGACCCTGTTACGAGTTCTGTTACAGGTTCTGTTACGGACCCTGTTACGAGTTCTGTTACGGGCTCTGTTACGGACCCTGTTACAGGTTCTGTTACGGGTTCTGTTACGGACCCTGTTACAGGTTCTGTTACAGGCTCTGTTACGGGTTCTGTTACGGCCACCGTTACGGGTTCTGTTGCGGGCCCTGTTACGGGCTCTGTTATGGGCGCTGTTATGGGTTCTGTTATGGGCTCTGTTACGGACCCTGTTACGAGTTCTGTTACAGGTTCTGTTACGGACCCTGTTACGAGTTCTGTTATGGGCTCTGTTACGGACCCTGTTACAGGTTCTGTTACGGGTTCTGTTACGGACCCTGTTACAGGTTCTGTTACAGGTTCTGTTACAGGCTCTGTTACGGGTTCTGTTACGGCCCCCGTTACGGGTTCTGTTGCGGGCCCTGTTACGGGCTCTGTTATGGGCGCTGTTATGGGTTCTGTTATGGGCTCTGTTACGGACCCTGTTACGAGTTCTGTTACGGGTTCTGTTACGGACCCTGTTACGAGTTCTGTTACGGGCTCTGTTACGGACCCTGTTACAGGTTCTGTTACGGGTTCTGTTACGGACCCTGTTACAGGTTCTGTTACAGGCTCTGTTACGGGTTCTGTTATGGCCCCCGTTACGGGTTCTGTTGCGGGCCCTGTTACGGGCTCTGTTATGGGCGCTGTTATGGGTTCTGTTATGGGCTCTGTTACGGACCCTGATACGAGTTCTGTTACGGGTTCTGTTACGGACCCTGTTACGAGTTCTGTTACGGGCTCTGTTACGGACCCTGTTACAGGTTCTGTTACGGGTTCTGTTACGGACCCTGTTACA